AAACTGATTTCTGCAGTGTTAATAACCCATTCTAAACAAGTTGTTTTTTATGCCTTTACAATTCGTTATTGATACATAAGTAGATTATTTGTTGAAGAATATAGTATTGGGGTTTATCAGGCTCTTTTAGTGCTCTTGTTTAAATGAAATCTGGTCATGGGTCTTTCCCGCTGTTTCTGCCGTAATCACTTATTTCGATTATTGATTTATAGGTTTAGCTGCTGAAAAAACTAATCAATTGTTTATGGAATTGAACTTTGATGGAAAATACTCTGTTCACTTAGTTTCTTTGTTTTTTGTATGTCAAGTTGCTAAATATAAGTATATTAAATAATTATCATATAATTGCCGCTCTAATAATTCGAGCAAACACATATGTGTACATCCATGCCCCTAATCAAATTAGGGGCATGAAAAAAAATTATATTTATTTATATTGATTTCCCAATCTATATATTTACACATTTGCTGTACGTATAATGGGATATTTACAAGGAATTATCGCATTCCCGAAGACGCAGTTTGTACGTTAAGCGTGTGTCGTTTCGGTTTTTACCAGTTTTTGGTTGTTCTTATTGCCATTTGGAACCTGAAAGCGTTATATGTGTGCATACATGGCGAGGGGAAAGTGGGTGGTTGACAAGGAATTGTGGGTGGTAACTGGGTGGCGGTTGTTAGCAGGGTTGGGCATTCACTTATCGCGTGTTGGCTTTGGCACCTCTCCTCTATACCTTCTCAATCTCATTCCTTTTATAATATTGTTTTTCTCGGTCTTTCCCGCTTTACCTCTTTTCCAATTTTCCGCTTTTTTTTGTCTTTGGCTTTTTACGGCTTTGTCTTGTTGCCATTGTTTTCTATAAACCGATTTCAATTGGTACCACTGCTTCAATAGTAAATGAAAATATTTTAAAATTAATATTTAAGGTTAAACGAGTTGAAAGGTATAAACACAAAAACATACAATTAAAAGCTGTTCTTCAGGTTTCTATCTACACCAAACATCCAACTCTGCAGTGTAGTAAAATATCTTTAACACATTTTCTTTGTCCCCTTCTTAACTTTATTTAAATTAACCCGTTTCCGTTGGGCTATCGCTATAATCGGTGTGCAGCAGCTGTTGTTATCGAAGTCATATGCTTTGTGTTGTTGATCGACGCTGGTGTGAATGTGATGTGCAGTCTCATGGGTTAATTGCCTTGGTCTGCTCTAATTATTGATTGTCGACTCGGTCATTAGCAGCTGGCAAAGGAAGTGCCGCGATAGCGACAACAATACAAGCTTCTTTGATTTTTTTTATTATTAATTTATTTTTAATATATGTTGTTTTTTCTCGTGTTGCGCGTGTTTTTGGTATCACCCCACAACCTTCCCTCTTTTTGTTAGTTTTTGTTTAACTTTTGGTAAACTCGAGTCTTTGGCAAACAGATGCGCATATTTCCAACGGGTTTCCTTTTTATTTTCCCAAATGGAATGCAAATATTGTACTGTTTGTTCTTTTTTTATTCCCGTTTCGGCTCTTGTTCTATTAAAATGCTATTCTATGCGCTCTCGTTATTGTACTTTCACTTTCCTTGAGTGCATAAGGGACCCGAAAGATGGCGCTGCCGTGTAAGCAACAGGCGGCGGTGAATCAGTGGGATTGGAACGAATTGAATGTATTTTTGGGTCTCCCAGTTTTTTTTTTTTTTTTTTTTTTAAGCTTTATGTGTTCTGTCTAGTTTATTTGCTTTTTTCATTTCACTTTCGATGCCGAATGCGGCCTCTCATTTTATTTTTAGTTTCGATTCAGTTCGATAGCCTAGACCCAAAAAAAGGGGCACGGAACGAGCGGTAAAACATGTTTTGTTTTGACGTTTTTCCCACATTCAGAATCAATAATTCCCTGTAAAAATAGCCCGTAAAAACATGTCTTTGGGCAATTACCATTGTGAATACTTACCAACCACGGTAAATGTCAGAGCGCATTATCGACATGCAAGTTCAAGACCAAGTAAACAAGAACCACAACCCCTAGGCTGGCTAACAGGCCCCTCAAAAGACCCACAGACCCGCTTCTCCTTTTCACTGGAATCCCCATCACTTAAGCCCGTCCCCAGCTCATTTGCTATTCAAATTGAAGTTGACTCGATACTGGAACCCACCGGCACGTGGAGACCAGTGCAAGCCGGAGACCTGGCGCCAAATGAAAATTTCATTCAATAAATAATAGCTTTTCGAATAGGAAATAACTAAGAAAGTCCAGGATTACTTTTTGGTTTTTTCTTAAAGTAGTTAGTTGTAAAATTTACAGAAATTGTAAACGAAAATTAGCATTCTTTCCAAAAGATTATATCATAACTGTCCGATCATGATAATTACGGAGACAACAAGTTTTCTTATTTAACATACGGTTACTATACTATACCCAGGTGTCAACTAGTAATGCATTTCAATAAATTGTTGGTTTTAAATTATACAAATCATAATTGTCTTAGCCTTAAATAATTTTCCTCGGCTCTATAATACCTCTTCTTATGGCTAGAGAAAAGGTATTGAGTTATAGATATAAAGAATGGGTTAGGAGCTCTGCGTCTACTCTAGGCTCAATGTCAAGTCGATAAAAATAAAGGCAAATGACGCAGTGGCCGAAGAAAAAGGGTTGCTATTACTGCGGGCTTGAGGTCTTTAGTTAAGGTAAAATGTCAGCTAGGGCGAAAGTCAAAGTCTTGAATGGGTTATCCAAGGTTTGGAAATGTCGCAGGGCGTAAAAATACCATAGTTGGGTTAGCGGGTATGTGATACAAATCTGGTTAGTTGGTTTAGAAAGCTGCCTGCAATTCAAATATACTAACTGGAGCTCTTGTAGTACCCACCCATTTGCATCTGGGGTTTATTTAATGATTTAATGTTGATGTTAATCGTACGACTGTTGTGTTAGATTTTGATCGTATGACAGGCTTTATCTTAAATTAAAAGAATTACCTTTAAGTATTTAATTAGGCTTCTTGCCCTTAAAAAAAGCTTTTTAAAAGGGTAGCGATATGGAAGATCTTGGAACTTTGGATAATATTAGTTGACATTTTTAGTGATCACCCTGTCCCAAAGTGCTTCACCCTGTTGCACAGAGAGAGTTGTCGCTGTAGTTTTCTTTGTTAGTTCACCCCCCAACTTGCTGGGTTTCGTTTTTCTTTTGTTTTATTATTATTTTCCCGTTTTCTATTTGTTTTTTTGCGCCATTGCATGACCTAACCAACTAAGCCAACAAACTGACCTAAGCACCCTCCGTAATTCCCAGCCCCGCCCCCTTCTTTCACCAGCCCCCCTTTCGTTGGGCGCTTGTCATCGTCTGCAAAACCGCTTTCAACCTGAAACCGTATACCATATACTATATACTATATATGTATATACCATATATCGTGTACGGCGGGATTGGACATACTCTACTGACGGAGACAACGACACATGCAATTATTGTGCTGTTGTTTTTATGGGGTTTGTCTTTGGTCTATTGCGTACTGTCTGCCGACCAATGCTGCTTTTTCTGTTAGTGTTTAACTTCTATACGTTTACCGTTGTTGCTTAGGAAGTCCTTTTCTTGGTTAGCCATTCCATTTTATTTCAATTTGACTTGTGCTTGTGCGGACACTCCTATAATTTGTGGTAATGCGACAATGTCCTCTATTCTCGAAACACTTTCTCCTGAAAGTCCTTTACCCCATTATGATATTAGTTGGGAGCTAGTTGGTAAGGTACCAATTGGTAAATCGTACTAACATCAAAGTTGCGACGCAGATTATTTTCCTCTGGTAATTTAAACCAATTTGCTATTTATTTTTTCATGAACTTAAATTGTTTGTAGCTACGGAATTGCCTTTGTTTTTTTCAAGTAATCCTTTCAAGTAATTTATCTGAAGTTCTTAAATTACATTGACTACAAAGTTTGATATATTGAAATAAGAAAAATAGTTATTAAAGTCGTGTGATCAGGTATATATTGCATATTTAGACAATCTTATAGAGGCTTGTCCCTCTTTTTTTAGAGACATATGTAGATGTTAACTAATTTATTTTATTATTTACTTTAGTAGGCGATTGTGATTACAATGTTGTTGTTATTGCTGGAAACATTTCCGTATCTATTTTCAAGCTGATCATTTCTGTTTTAGATGTAGCTTACATTATATTTCTGTTCTTATTTAATTTAACACGTTCGCACTTTAGCACTTCAATAAAAGAGTAGAATTGTAAATTAATGGGTCCGGCAACACAAACAATACCCATACGCATAAATAAATAAAAAAGGCATTTTGTTGTTTTATGATTGTTTCTTTTTTTGGATTTTAGTGAAGTATTTTTAATGCTGATAAAAGTAGTGATAAGATTAAGGCTTTACACGCAAGGGAAATTCAAGAAAAGGAGGCTTCCGAAAGCTAATCAGTTTTGGTTTTTGCCATCACTTTCGCACGCAAAAATTGCAGCTGTGTTTCATTCCATTGAGTTTCGGACTCTGCAAGTTTTTTGATTCCATTGAATTCCGTTGTGCACTTCACTGAGGAGAAAAGCTTGCTCTCCATCTCGCTCTGGTTCTTTGGCCCCTCTCTTTCTTCAAGGCTCTTCCCCTCTCTTTCTTGTTAATCTTCACCTCTCTTTCTTTCACTGCGTGCTTGCGTAGTGTTTCAGTACCGTACGTTCCATCACCCTGCACATGTGAGTGTGTGTGCGTGCGTCAGCGATAATAATTTGGAATTTGAGTTGCCGTTTTCGCTCTGTTTCTGTTTCGCTCTTGTGTGTGTGTCTGTTTCTCAGTTTCGATTGAGTTTCGGTCTCGTTTCTCAGTTTGTCGAGTTCTCAGTTCATTCGCGACCTCAAAAGCGTCCGCACATGTTGCACGCTAAAAAAACACACAGACCAGACAACAGAAATAAATAACCAAAATAGACACTTAAATTTTGAAAATCACAAAGATCTCTCTCTCTCTTTCTGCCTTTTTTTGTTTCGTGTGAGTGTGCATAAATTTAAATGGTTTTTGTTTGGCTTTTATTTATATTTTTTTTTACGGTGTCCAAAAAACAAACCACAATGTTGGGCTAAATTTAGCCAGAGAGCCTAAATAGAAAAAGTTTGTTTTCGAAAATGCAGCTATAACAGCAAAAATCAGTGTAACCAAATCAAAAGCAACCACTTATTTGTTATTTTGTTTGATTTAAATGAAATTAGGCAATGTGACTGTGAAGCGCGAAGACAAAAAAGTTAAACAAAAATAAAAAGTGATTTAAAACACTTTAACTCCCCAAAACTGTGCTCAGCTTGGGACACACTTAACTAATTCTAAAGAACTAGCAAGAAAATACTCTAATCACTAGAGTATTTAATAGACAATTAAAAACCTGATGGCAACAACAACAACAACCCAGGCAGCAGGAGCTGCACCAGCTCACAATTTATTGCCAGCCGCCGCCAGTAGCAATAATAATACAAATAATACCCTTAACAACAATAATAACAACAACAACAGTAACAACAACAATAATAATAATAATAATAATAATAATAACGTGACAAGCCAGCCCATAAAAATACCGCTGAGCGAACGCTTCTCATCGCAAACGTCGACGGGTTCGGCGGACAGTGGAGTAATTGTTTCCAGTGCATCGCAGCAGCAACTGCAGCAGTTGCAATTGCCGCCACCGCGCAGCAGTAGTGGCTCATTGAGCTTGCCGCAGGCGCCACCTGGCGGCAAGTGGCGTCAGCAGAAGCAGCAGCGTCAGCAATTACTGCTCAGTCAAGATAGTGGCATCGAGAACGGTGTTACGCGGTCAAAGGTCAAGGATTCTCAGGGCGGTGGTGTGGGAAAACCTGGTCACAATGCCATCAACTCAAAGGAGGCTGGGAACAGCAGCAGCGAAAGTCTGGGCAGCAATTGCTCCGAGACGACTGCTGAGGATCAGCAGCGGATAAGGGCCTCATCCGCTCTGGAACTCAGTAGCAGTAGCAGCGTGGACAATCCCGTGGTCATTGGTGTGGGCAGCACTGTGGTGGGCAACAACATCCTGCGCAGTCGCATTAAGTACAAGAGTACCAATAGCACCGGGACCCAGGGATTCGATGTGGAGGATCGCATCGATGAGGTGGATATCTGTGATGATGACGTGGAGATCGAGGAGGAGGACGATGGCGTCAATGTGGACGACGATGTCGAGGAGGCCGACAACCAGTCGGACAGTCAGTCGGGCATAATAATAAACCTCAAGAGCAAATCGGAACAAGAGGAGGAGGAGGCCAAGGAGTCGGAGGTTAAACCCAAAACCCGATTACTGCCACCTGATCAGGCGGAACTTACAGTGGCAGCGGCAGCGGCACGTCGTCGCGATGCCAAAAGTCTGGCCACCGATGGCCACATTTACTTTCCCCTGCTCAAGATCAGCGAGGATCCGCACATTGATTCCAAGCTGATCAATCGCAAGGATGGCCTTCAGGATACCATGTATTACCTGGACGAGTTCGGCAGTCCCAAGCTGCGAGAGAAGTTCGCCCGCAAGCAAAAGCAACTGCTGGCCAAGCAGCAAAAGCAGATGATGAAGCGGGAAAGGCGGAGCGAGGAGCAGCGCAAGAAGCGAAACACCACCGTGGCCTCCAATTTGGCGGCCAGTGGTGAGACCAAAGATGATGAACAACAACCACACTGTGATACTAGCTCTAGGAGCAAACATAACTCGGTACCCAATCCACCCTCTAGCCATGTTCATCATAATCATCATCTTGTTGTGGATGTGGAGGAGGATGTGGATGCCACCAAGCGTGACGTGGGCCAGGTGAAGATGCGCCGCCACAGCCACGACAACCACTACGATAGAATCCCCCAGAGCAATGCAAACACCATCACCACCACCACCCGCCCTAAAAACGATCATCAGTCGCAGGACCAGGACATCGAGGACATCGAGCAGGGAGCCGAGCCCGAACTCGAAGGAGATGCCGATGCGGACAGCGATGAGAGCGGCGAGAACGTTAAGACTGCCAAATTGGCCAGAACACAGTCCTGCGTCAGTTGGACCAAAGTGGTGCAAAAGTTCAAAAACATATTAGGTAAAATATGACATGTTAGTTCTAAGGACTGCTCTTAAATTGTACAAAAAATTTAAAAATACAGATAGGATCTATTAATTAAATACTTTGAAATTGTTTTATAACAATATGTTAGTTCTTAGGACTGCTTCAAAATTGTAGAACAAAGTTACGATCGAAAAATTCGAAACTGCAAACTGGCATACATTCAAAAAAGAGCTAACACAATTTTCAGTAATTACTTTTAAATAATTCTATAAAAAGTAGTTGTAAAGCTTAAACATTTAAATAAAATTTTTTTTTTTTCAATTTTGGGCAATCAACTTAATTTCGTTCAAAAAATTATTTGAGACTAGACTCATAATTATGGTAATTTAATATAATTGAAAGCAGTTGTGAAAAAAGATTTAAAAGTACGCATTGGCAGTTTATACCAGACATTCAGTACAAGAGAAATTTGTCCCGAACATATAATTTTGAACATATTTACGTTTAAGGGGATTCCCGTCTACCGCGATGAGGAAATATTTATTTTTTACTTCGATATCTGAAGTAGTTTTTGAAGTGTTTTTTTTTTTTTTGTAATATTTTGTTTATTTTTTTTACGTTATTTAAAGGCTGTAATAAAACAAGTGGGTGGTGGAATTATTATAATTCATTATAATTGTATTTTTAATTATCTCTATAAATATATTTATTTATCAATTATTATTACTTATTTAAGTATTGAGCTATAGTTGAAGTCTAGATATCCGCCTTAGACCTACCTTTGCCTTAATATTTGAAAGACGATTTATTTATGCATTTAAAGTTCTTCTAATAGTCTTTTACTGTCTGACAAGATATCATAAAATGTTATCAATTGTTTAAAACTGTGATTTCTAAAATTTTCCGTTTATTTTCTTCTCTTTGTAGGTAAGTGTTGATTGAAGTGAAACACAAATTCCTCAAAACTCCGGAGGGCTTATCGTATCGGGTGAGATTGTTCTATGTACACACACATATACACACAGAGATACATAGATAAGTATGGTTTTGGAAATTTTTGGCGATTGAATGAAAAGTGATAAGGTTTTCACTGTGGGGGACTAAGTGAAAATTCTTTATTAGTAATTTAAAGATGTTAGAAGGAGGATCGATAATAGTTTTATGACATTCCTTTTTAATTAAATGTTCTGGAAAAATATAAAATTTGCATATAAAAAAAAATTCCGTGGAGAAGATGGGTCGATGAACGAATGTATTTTTTGATAGCTTTGTCAAGCTTTTTCTTTCTTTGGTGAGATAAATATACACAAGCGGAAACGTTGGGGGAAAAACACACATATATAAATATGTGATCTTATTCTCCCTTTTATTGCCATATAAAAAGTGATCTTGGCTTTACTGTGAAAAGCAGTCGTCAGCCGATAAGGAAAAGCGGAATTTTCTCGTCCATGTTCTACAACAGGCCATATTTCTTTGTTGTTGCATTGTCGTTGATAAGAAAAATACAGTGAAGTGGGACGGGAAGGGGCGGAAGAAAGAGACGGGAAGGCCAGAAGAGAGAAAGGGACGGCATGAGCAGGGCAACAACACTGATTTACGCCAGCTGATGTTGATTTCTTCGCCTACTAACTTACACATTATACTTTATGACTGGCAAGCATTGCATTAATATATATGATTTCATTCGGAGATTTCCAAAGCATTACTCGATAGTGCGCAAAAAGTGACTGTCGAATTTATGAAGTGTTAGTAGTGTTATTTTATTAACCCAAAAGTCGAATGTTTCAACAAGAAGGCAAATTATTGTTAACCAAATGTTCCCATTATAATCCAAAGTCATTCGATAGTTTTGTTTTGCCATAGTCGGATACTTTTTCTAGCCCTTTGTTCTAAGATCCCATTACAATTGGATAACTGCAATGCAAATAGCCATATTTATGTATTACGAATGTTATATATAGCAGTGTTAACTGGTTGTCAGTTGCATCATTTTGAAATCTTGGACTGGGAGCTTAGCGAAGCGTGTTAACGTTGCGGTGCGAAAAGTAGCAATCCCTTTATTACGATTATATTTTATGGAAGGCACTGTGTCACAGCGTGCTTGTCACCTCAGTATCAACTACATCCTCATCTCATCTCATCTCATCTTATATTATCCGCAGCTTAGGTTGCTGTCTCAGTTTCCATCCGTCCAGTCGTATAAGTGATTTGCAGCTTTCTCAGATGCTGACTGATAAGGAGAAGGCTAACAGATTTTTTTTAGCTAATCATTTGCCTACACGGGGAGAAAAATCATGACCCTCGTAAATAGTTTAAATTAACTTCTTTACATTGTGATTTTTTCAAATAATATATGGTTATACAATTTTTTCAAGGTAAAGCCATTTCTTATCGTCAGTAAATATTGTAAAATTAAATAAATAAACATTTGTCTTAAAAATGCATGACTATCTCAATAAAAGCATTTACAAAAATACGGTTTAAATACCATTAAATACCATTTCCTATCAGCAGTTACCATTGTAAAATTAAATATTTGTCTTATCATAGCGTTTTAGTAGAGTATATTAAAAGTACAGCATTGACATATCTCCAGAAAGTGTCATTCCAAATCACCAATAACCGTTTGAATAAGCTATATGCTAGTTTTTTCTCTCTGTGCAGAGCTAAAGTTATAAAGCTAAAGCTGATGCTGCCTGCATGATCAGAGATCATCAGTAAAAAGATCAAGAAGCACGCGGCTATATTGCTTACAGCTCTGATTATATATAGCCATCTGCATATATATAAATATATATATATATATAAATATATATATAAAGACTGATTGCTTCGGAGGGGGAGGTTTGTGGGTTGGGAGGAATTGGGGATTCGGGAGCAGAGATTACGCGGCGTTAGTTGTTGTTATTTGTGTTAACGCTCGACAATCACGCGCTCGTCTCATAAAACGGATGACAGAGCAAAAAACTTTTCCAAAAATATCAAAGCCCAACAACATGCATATATTGAGTGAGGAGCGCTTGTGAAATGTTTTTTTCTTCTTTTTTTGTGGTACAAATATACCAGCATACGTGTATAAGTGTAAATTCATTCGCAAATTCACTAAATTTGTGACCAAATGGAGGCGTGTCCCTTGTCTTGTTGATGTTTTTTTTGTCGATTGTTGTTTTGTATTTGCCCTCTTCACCCTCTTTCCTTTTTACCCTGCCCTGCCCCACGTTTCTTAAATATACTTTTGCCCATTGATTTGAAATTTTTAAAGGCAAAAATATTGTTATTTTTTTCTAGTCTTTGCTGGGGGGAGATTGGGGGTTGGCAACAGCTAAAAGGCGTGTGACAGCTGTTTATCTCCCCAACTTCTGTATATTTCACATCCTCCTCAGCTGTAGCATATTTCGTATTAATTTGTGCCAATGACCAATTTGTTGTTCTGGTTATAATTTGTTGCATAGATTATAGATTGGGGAGAAAATCAGAGAAAAAAGGGGTGAGAGGTATCCATACAACCTGTTGTTGCATCTACACACTGCCTCTCGTTTGCTGATTATTGAATTATACATTTTTGCATAAATTATAGACATTTGGCATATCTCGTTTATTTTTGGAAGAATGTTAAAACATCAAAGAAATTGTTATGGTTTTCAGTGAAACGAATTTTTCCTAGAAGATGAGACAGGTTTTGGTCAGTAATCGGATTAGAAAAAGATTAAAACTGTTCAAAAATAATTTGTATATATAAACAGTACAATATTGTTGATAGCGATTTGACAGAAGATTAGTGTTAATATTTCCATTACTCACGCTAATGGAAATGTTTTTTTAGCCTTTGCTCAGTTGTATTCCTTTGCTGATTTGCCTGTGCTTTTATTTTATTATATTATATTTTTTTTTATCAACTTGAATTCAATACTTGTTTGATCAGCTGCAAAAGAAAAGAATTTTTATTTAGTAGTTCTCTTAATCATGGACCTCTCTTATTATTGATTTCTCTTCCTGTGCTTTTTGTTTTGTAGTTCTGTATTTTATGTTCTTGGCCATTTATTTTCTTCTCTTTTTTTCTTGGCACTTTGAGGGCTTTCTTGACGAGCGAGTGAACATTATACAGATAGAGAAAAATAGTGCCTGAATTTATGGGTGGCATCCAAAAGTATGCAATAAAAAGTATTACCTAAAAATAATGCGCTTTAAAGAATGGTTCCTTTTATTCGATGATAATGATGCAGGTGATAGTTGGCTGGTATAATGATTTCTTAAATGATGCCAAGTGCTGCACACTGCGGGGCAATCTCGTGATCTCCGCCCGCGTGGTGTCGTCATCTGGCCATCACTTTTTTTTTCCTTTCTAGCCGTGATCGACAGGTAGCTCTCTCGGCCAAAAAAATAAAATCAATTTAATGAACTAAATAAAAAATACACATGGAAAAAATGGCATTGGCTGTGTATATATTTTAATTTCCTGCAAGGTAAAAATTTAACTAAATAATGGGATTATTACAAGTTACCAGTTTTATTAGAGTGTTAAGTGATATTAGATATATTGTCTTATTGGTATAGGGCTAAAAATGTTATTATTCTTACTACACCATTATAAAATGCAATAAATTATAGTTAGCCATTAAAGATACTTTATTTTAAATGGGTTTTTACAGACTTTGTACGAGTATATACTTTTTTTTGGGATTTTGGTTGATAAGAGAGGAGAGCTTATGCAAGGGGTGTTGTGGGCGTGGTCGTGTTTAATTTTAGCCAAAAGAGTTTCGTTGTTAATTTGCTTTTGGCACGACGGCTCATGGTAAAATGAAGCGATGACTCTATATAGATATCTGGTGATAAAGGGTGGGAAATAAAAGTTTGTGGTGTGTAACCAATGATTGTTTGGTAACGTTTTCTATTTTCTTTTATTTTTTTATTCGTCTGTGGTTGCTTGCTTTCTTCCGCTCCAAGTGGGGGTTTTCGCCCACCTTTTAGCCACCCCCTAACTTTGTGCTGCGTCACACCGATTTGCATGCCACATCGCCCGCCCACAAACCACCCACGCCCCCTTTTTTTGCGGCTGAGTGGTGCCAACTGCTTGTATATCGATTAGTTTCCGTCGACGTTGGCGGCACAACAAATTGCTTTCCCATTTAGACAGCTCCAACTGTTCCACCAGACCTCCTCTTTTTCCCCTTTTTGGTATAGTTTTTCAATGTTTGCTCAGAGGGAAGGCACATAGGAGTGTGTGTGTGCTTTACCTATTGATAATTTGATTGATTTTGTCGCTCAAGCCGCAAAATAAGTCGGCAGTCCTGTAAAAATTCAATTGATTAATGTGAGGACGGCAGTGCGGGAATGTAAAGTAAGAATGTTGTTGTACAATTGGTGAATCGATCAAATCGATAAATGCAAATGGAATTGCGACGCTGATAAAAGGCGACAAATATTCAATCCTGCATAAGCTTACTAATGAAGCGTATTGAAAACAATAAATTTACTTATACAGCACTGATAAAAAATAACTCCAGTGTCAAAAAGTAAACTCTAAAAAGGTATTACAATAAAACAATGTTATTACCTTTAAATATAAAACTAAGAATATATTGATGATTAAATTATGCTACATGAATTAGGCAAAGCGCATCAATTTCAGCTATCTACCTTTTCTTTGTTTAAGTGAGTATGTAAAAATTAATTTCTCAAATAATCCTTATCGGTATAAAAGGCAATGAAAAACAATGTCAATGCCAGAAGCGGGTTAAATCTTCTTGGCCTCTTTTGATTTCATTTGGGGCTTGCAATTTCATTTTCGTTGCATTTGTGTTACTAATTGATTAATTAAAATAAAATAAATTTGATTTGCACTTGTTGCTGCGTTTCTTCTGCCGATTCGATTCTTCTTTCTCCGCTCAACCTTTTTTCTCCGTCGCATTGAACTGTCTGTCAGTCGGCTGTCGACGACAAAAAGGCGGGGGTCTTAAGGGGGCGTGGCTGTCGCATGCTTGACCACGCTTGGCTGCCACTGTCTTTCTTCTGTCTTCTGTCTTCTGGGTTCTGGGTCTTCAGTTTTCAGTCTTTCGGCGGGCCCTCCTCTCTTCTTTGGCCTTATCGTGATTTTCCTGCAATTAAAAATTTCCTCAAACCGCAGCAAAATTGTTAATATTTTTGATGAAGATCTTGAGAATATATTTTTTAAAGCGCGTTTTAAAATCGAAGAATGTGTAAATTGCGAAGGGGTGTTGTGTGTGTGGATCGCATCTAAAACCGACCGCTGTTCGTGTGGCATTCGTATGCGATCTTTGGGTATCTCAACCGCCGTTCGTGTCGTCCTCTGCTTTTTTCCAATTTTTTTTGTCGCCAATTGTTCAACGGAAGCTCGAGCGATCGGATCGTTGGATTGAAAGCGGAACGGAACGTATCGATCGGATCAGTGCCTCTCATTCTTCTAAAAAAAAATAAAATAAAAAAAAAAAAACAGCCGAAAATTCGAAGATCGTACTATTTCGGTTCTTCTCAATTTTTTTTTATTTTCTGTGATATTTTATTTTGTTGCTGTTTTTCGGTGGTGCCGCGTGTTTGCATTTTTTGCTATTTGAAGATCGATCGATCGATTGATCTGCACACAAAGCGAACGAAACGTCAAGTGACCGAAAATAAAACTAGGCCAAAGCCTGCCACCGTACACAGGGAGAAAAAGTATTTTAAGTTTGCATTGCAAAAAGTGAATTTTAAAACGTTTAAAAACACTATTTTTGAAATCAAAACTACTGAAATCAGAAGGAATAACAGATTAAAATCGAAAAGTAAACTTGCTTAAAAATACGGCAATAATTAAATTTTAATTTCAGTTGAACTTTCATAACTCGATAAATTATTTGCTTTTAAAGAACCAATCAAATTAGTTCAATTCCCGCTAATTTTTATTGCCCAAATTGGTTTCAAAAATAGGTTTGTAAACAATTGAAAGTTTCATAATTTTGCGCCCTATATTTTTTTTATTTTTTTTTTTTTTATTGTTTTGTGTAGAGCACCATCTACAATCCACCCACAGCACCACCCACTGGCAGGGCAGACAGTGGTTCAGTGGCTCAGTAGTGGTGCTTAAGTAGTTCTCCCCGCTCAAGGTGGATAAGTCCCAGGGGGTGCCCGTGGCGGTGCCGCGTGGTGTCCGCAAAGTGGTTCGAGTGATTCGCAAAAAGAAGCGCCCACCACCCGGCAGTGGTTCGGTTAATGAGGCCAGTGAATCGGATGGGGCTGGCTCTGCTGGCACCACCACCTCCAGCAGGCAGAATTCCATAGACGCCAGCAAACCGCCCGCCAAGGCCATCCGGAATAAAAGGGGCTCCTTTGGGGGTGGTGGTGGTGGTGCCGGACCACCCATTCCGTTGGCCACCAAAAAGAAGAACAAACGTCGTTCCTCCAGCGAAGAGGAGGAGAGCAGCGGCAGCAACGAAAGCCCCACCGAATCCGAATCGGAATCCGGATCGGGTGGCTCCTCCAGTGCTGGCAGTGAATCGGAATCGGATAGCGACACCAGCAGCAGTGGCTCGTCGTCGACCACCACCACCGAATCCTCCACTGGCAATCATCGGAAGTCGAAGACCAATGGCCAAAAGCACAAGCCCAAACCCTTGTCGGCGGCGGCCAAGGCGGCCCAGTCCGCCTGCTCGTCATCCCTGGTGGTGGCCGCCGCCCTGAAGAAGACCAAGCCACCGAACCGGAGCGGCAGTGGGGCCAGCATTGCCAGTGCCGGCGGAGGGGGTGGCGGAGGAGCAGGAGGCGCTGGCAAGCAGTACAAGGATCCAAGTACAGAGATAGGAATTATAAGAAAGCCTACCCAAGCCTTTTCCATTCCCTAGTTCCCAAACTGAGATACTGTTTTGTATAAACCCCCGAATTTCCAGGTCCCAAACTAAACTTTTTTGTACAAAAACTCACAAAAACAAAATTCCTTAAATAATAACCCAAACATAACCTTAGTTATAAGCCTACCATATATATTTAGAATATATCCGGCTATATGGACTTAAGTCATTTTTAAGTACATATTTTCCTAAATATATATAGAAGGTTCAACGATAAACCCATGATTAGGTTATTATTCCTAAAATTAAGGAATTTTTTTCTGGGTGAAAGAACCGTAAATACGAATGATTCGAGATTATTATTTTAAAATGCCTTCTAGATTATTTTTTTGTTGCCTATCTAGCAAATTTGTATGCAACTTGTATACATTTTTGTTTTCTAAAACTCGCTGAGTTTTATATACTTTCTGGATAGGAGTAAAAATATTTTTATTAGGAATTTTTTTTTAAATAATCAAAACTAACTTTGGTTTACGGTCTTTAGTACAAACCTAAGAAAATAACATGTTAAAACACAATGCTTCAGAAATCCTGAATTGTATAACCAGAAATATCCACTAAAAAACATATGGAAATAACAACAAACAAATTAAGAACCCTCAACGTTGTTTGACCATCAAAATCCACTAAAATCCGAGAGGCAGTAGCAGCTGCCCCAAGATCATCAACATGCGCAGCATCGTCATCTTTCGGCGCCAATGCCAAAATTAATTAGCAAAAAAATGAAAAGGGATATAATAGAGAAAACTCAAAATCATCATAATGATCTTTCCGGCAAACTTTTTATTCCTAATCGCTATAATAATAAACATCCTTTATTATTTTAACATAGTATTTTTGGCTATGAGCACAAAAATGACCAGGATTACAAAGATAACTTGACATGTTGTGGGACTTAAAATAAAAGGTGTGCATTTTGTTTAATTATACTTTAATTTCTTTACCTTAATCTTTTTTCTAAGAAGCCGGTTTCATTTTCTGCCTTTTCATTTATATTAATTTTTTTTTTTACTATCTTTTTATTTTTTTTAATAATATATAAACTGATTGCAAATGCAAATCATTTATTTGAGTCTGTACAAGTGATTACAAATCAAATGCAAATGATAATTTTTTTTGGAAAAAACTGATGTGCAGTTTCTCACCCTTTTTTTAACTTTCTCGAAATCTTCTGTCTGTGAACTCTTCCCTTTCGTATACTCCTAAACCGAAATGCTCTATCCATACTTGCCATGTAAGCCGAAACTCTTCTGCTTGTTCCTCCAACTCTTTTTTGTTTACCTTCTGTGATTTTTTCTTACTACCCCACCTCTTTCCGTTGTTTTCGTCTCGAGTTGATCACTGATCCAGTGATCGATCTCTTGACTATATCTTGTGTGATTCGTAACTGATTTGTGTGCAGGCATGAAGCAACTGATCGGCAAGCTGAACGACCTGTGGCCCGAGCACAGTGTTGCACTGTCCATTCCAAAGGAGGTCGATAGGAGCAAGGAGAAACTGGAGGGCGCCTGGGAGACCACAGGTGTATATAACATCTATAAACTATATATCTATATATGTGTGTGTGCCTAGGATAAGTTGGGGTGTATATATTATAAGGGAGACTCACCCTACATTGCAATTTACATATGTACATGCTTTAACTAACGCAACACACTTTGTTTGTGCCCAAAACAGGTCGCGATGGTTCCAAAATTACAACAGTTGTTGCAACACCCGGCCAAGGCACCGATCGTGTACAAGAGGTCTCCTATACAGACACAAAGGTCATCGGCAATGGCAGCTTCGGGGTCGTGTTCCAGGCAAAGCTCTGCGACACCGGCGAGCTGGTGGCAATCAAAAAAGTTTTACAAGACAGACGATTTAAGGTAAGTCTGCAAAATCTATATATATTAAAATAAAAAAATATCTAAAGAAAACCCCTTTTTCCTGTTACAGAATCGCGAATTGCAAATAATGCGCAAACTGGAGCATTGTAATATTGTAAAGCTTTTGTACTTTTTCTATTCGAGTGGTGAAAAGGTAAGTAATTTCACTAGGTATAATTGGATGGGATCAATTTGCACCCCATTTTAGGGGGAGATAAAACTGCTGAAGTTGCCAGCATCGGTAATTACTTAGTACGGAACGGCCTGAGATGAAGAATCAAATCTATTTTATTGCGTTAGTAAAGAAAAAGTGCTAGAAAATATATACCTTTTGACTTACTTTGCTAAGGTGCCTTTCCTTGTATTAAAGCAAAATCGGTTTAATATTTATTGAAATAACTTTTATTTCGATTACAAAGGTTAGTTAAAAGTGAAAAATATAAACTTTATTATTTATTATATATATTATTTATTGATTTTCAAGTGTTTTTTTTTTATAAAAGAATTTTTTTATGGCTAAACCGTACTAAGTTTTTATTTTAGGACTTAACTGATCTGAGCATTTAACCGCTAAGCGTTTCTCGACAGGTTTCCCTATGAGTTGGGCAAATACCGAATTGAATTGAATCTCTTTCATTTGCATATCGAAACTGAAACTGAAACCGAACCCGATTACAAAACTGAATCCGAAACCAAATTCGGTCGCTAGCTGGCCGAGTTTCCCATCGATTTGGGCATATTTGCGAGTGTGCTCAAGCCCCAGGTATCCCAGATCTCTAAGACTTCAGTTCTCCAGCTCAGATCATTCAGCGACTTGCTCTCACTCGATCACTCGATCTCTCGAACTTTCTTTATCTCTCATAAATCCGAATCCGAAACCCTATGCTATGAATCAGACAAAAAAAAAGTACAGTGAAACGTACAGAAGAGCACACCGCATGGTATAACCTCCTGTGAATCGAATCCTCTGCTGCTATGCTAGTTTGCTAGTTAAAGTTGAATTAAATGTAAATGTCGCCGGCAGTACAACCCCGAACAAAAAAGCATGTTGACAGCCGCAACTTCATCGGTCAACTCCCCTTGAATCCTATAAACTCCTCTAAACATCCATACATGGATCATACACGCTCAATCTATAACTATATCAGAAACTAATTATGCCCTTTCTTTTCCATTTCGTAGCGTGATGAAGTATTTTTGAATTTAGTCCTCGAATATATACCAGAAACCGTATACAAAGTGGCTCGCCAATATGCCAAAACCAAGCAAACGATACCAATCAACTTTATTCGGGTAAGTCGAAACATATGTTTAAATGCTATTCCCAAAAGCTACATAACTACTACTATTTTGAACGCACTTGTAGTTCAATTTAGTCAAAATAATAGCATCAGAAGTCTTAATAATGAGCAATAAATTCTTTTGGTTAAAATAACCTTAAAAAAAATGATGATGCTACTATTTTGACCTTCTATTTTGAATGATCCCATATTAATTTGACCTCTTATTTTAGCTCTACATGTACCAACTGTTCAGAAGTTTGGCCTACATCCACTCGCTGGGCATTTGCCATCGTGATATCAAGCCACAGAACCTTCTGCTCGATCCGGAGACGGCTGTGCTGAAGCTCTGTGACTTTGGCAGCGCCAAACAGTTGCTGCACGGCGAGCCGAATGTGTCGTACATCTGCTCTCGGTATTACCGCGCCCCCGAGCTCATCTTTGGCGCTATCAATTATACAACAAAGATCGGTAAGCACTTACTTATACCCTTTATCAAAATGAATGAATTATTATATGTCGAATTTATCTAAATTTAGATGTGTGGAGTGCCGGTTGCGTTTTGGCCGAGCTGCTGCTGGGGCAGCCCATCTTCCCTGGCGATTCCGGTGTCGATCAACTCGTCGAGGTCATCAAGGTCCTGGGCACACCGACAAGAGAACAGATACGCGAAATGAATCCAAACTATACGGAATTCAAGTTCCCACAAATTAAGAGTCATCCATGGCAGAAAGTAAGTGGCTGGTTCCCAGGAAAAAGGATTGAATCGTTTATGATTACCTCCTCCCTCGTGCTTTCCGCTCATGTGTGTGTGTGGCCTCCACTCTTCACTCCACTCTTATCCAGGAAAATTCCATTTTCCCCCCTCAAAAATCAGCTCTTTGTTAGTGTGTTTCTAACCGAAAATTGTGTGTACATAAATACTCGTTGCAGTCACTACTCGAACGCACCCAATTTCCAAACGCCCTAAACCAGAAACAACGATTGAGAGTAAGCCAAGAAACACAAATCGAAAACAAGCAACAAACTTAAAAGCAAAAAGAACAAAAATTTTAAATTCAAAAATGTGCTCCTCCATCATAATGCCAAAATGCAGTTACATTTGCTATTATAACATATGCAGGGGCCGATATCATTATGAAATAGATTTTTTAAGTAACCTAAAAGGTTTATAGAGACTTGTCGCACAGCATTTAAATTAATTAAAAATTGAATATTATATTCTGATTTTATAAAGAAACTAGTTCAAGGGGATTATTCATGCTTCAAGACTAACATTATCAAGCTCAATTGATCATAGGGCTAAAATATATTCAGAATCCGCTTGAGATGCAATTACATGGCTTTTTAGCATCATGCTTAGCTTTTTGCCAGTTCTCCCAGCAGTTCAGAAGTTATACATTGGTTTATTTAATTTGATTGATTTATTGGATTTGGATTTAATTGATTGTTTTTGTTTCTTGCCCCGCCTACTGCCAACGTTTGTTTTGATCTTGTAAAATCTATGTAAATCAAGGTTCGGTTACGGTTTTCTTCATATATTTGTTCTGGTCATGTAAAATTAAATATAATTATGCGAAAACCGAAACAGGTCCTTGAGTTCTGTAAATACGAACGCTTCCTCTGCGTGTTCACACTTGTGTGCTGTCCCATTTCGATGATGATTGCGTTTTTACAGCCCCGCCCCAGTTGTCCAGTTGCTCCAATGTGTCCCGCCCAATTGTTGAGTCCCGCATCCAAGATGTCTGGTTAAGATTAAATACATACTAATTGAATACCTATACTGCCCGCAGGTTTTTCGTATACGCACTCCTACAGAAGCTATCAACTTGGTGTCCCTGCTGCTCGAGTACACGCCCAGCGCCCGGATCACACCGCTCAAGGCCTGTGCACATCCGTTCTTTGATGAGCTGCGCATGGAGGGCAACCACACCTTGCCCAACGGTCGCGAGATGCCGCCGTTGTTCAACTTCACAGAGCATGGTAAGTGATTTTTATAAATTATTCGTTGAAAAGTATGTAGCAGTTAGAATGATCTATCTGTCCGTCTGTCTGTCAGTCTGTCTGCATGCACTTCGAGCTCCAGGAAATTATGAAAGCCTGGGATATGCAGCTCAAGTTTGTTTTAAGTTGTGGTCACCTCCACTCTACCGCTAACAAATCGCGAAAGTCTGTCATTTCCCTCTGAGATATTGTACAGGCCAGTTATTCAGCTGTTTATGATTATTCGGTCAAGATCTACGGACAAATACAATTTTCAGAATCGAACCAATGTTTTAGAAGTTATTAGCATAAATATAAAGTTGCGGAATTTACAAATTCAAGGTGCTTCTTGTAGTAGCCTGTCAGTTCGGCAGATGGCGCCACCTAAAACCTGATTGTTTTCATTTTTTGGTTAAATCCTTTGGTGTTTTGAATTTGCTTATCCTAATCCTTAACTTCCTTTTGCAGAACTCTCGATACAGCCCAGCCTAGTGCCACAGTTGTTGCCGAAACATCTGCAGAATGCATCCGGGCCTGGTGGCAATCGATCTTCGGCCGGCGGAGCAGCCTCCGCTGCGGCCAGCGGCTCCACCAGCGTTTCGTCAACGGGAAGCGGCGCCTCGGCGGAAGGAACAGCCGCCCAATTGACACAGTCGCAGGGCACGGCAGCAGCAGCTGCGGCGGGATCGGGATCGGGTGGCGCAGGCGGAGCTGGACAAACAGCAGCAGGAACCGGATCTGGCAACAACAGCAGCAGCGGCGGCGGAGCCTCGGGAGCGCCGTCTGCCGTGGCAGCTGGAGCCAATGCGCAGCAGGCCAATGCCGCCGCCGCTGGAGGAGGTGGAGGTGGAGCGGCGGCCGCTGCTGCCACAGCATCTGGTGCAATGGCCGCGACTAACGCCGGCGGCGCCAATGTCACAGGTGAGTAAGCGGTTGGCCAGCCAGCGATGCTCCTTTTTCTCCCGACATCCCTCGCCCCCACATCCAATTATACCACTAGTATTCAGGCCAACAAATCGTAGTTTATTCGAAAACCAAAGTATTCCATGTAAGGGGTTCTTAATGTCACAATTTTGAATGGAGTTTTCTGTTTTGAAAGCCATTTTGGTAGCCTGAATACTGGGCCTTACTCGAAAATTGTATCAGTATCGTACCGTAAGCAATCGTTCTATATATTTTAACATACATTTCTAAAAATTATAAATCTTTAATTGTTAAACATCAATTATATGGACAAAGTTCAGTAGTCCATAATAATGTTTACTATGGTTACGCTACGATATTTGGATATACACAATCCCATATTACTCCTATCATGAGCCTCATCCAAACCCTAAGCTGGCGTCAAACTCATCCTGAGGCCACCGCGCAAATATCAGTTGCCTGGGAAAAACTACCTGCGCAATCCGGCCAACATGTGAATCCGGCCGAACATCCTCCACCATCCCTTTGTCCATCCACCCACACAGCACCTCCTCAATTGCAAGCCAACCCAGGGAAAGAGCAGTAGACATTTAGCAATGAAGGTGTGATAATCAAGGGTCAAGAGTCAAGAATTAAGAACAAGCAGTCACGGAATCGAAAAACTCAAGCAAACCATACAGGCTGGAAGAATGGAACGTTTTGAACACAAATTCTAGTTTTGGTTGTTATTAACTTCCACATATTTGCAAGTTATATCTGTTAAATTAAAATTAGTTAGTTTTCAAGTTATAATAAAGAAAAGTAAAAGTCAAGAAACGTTTCACACTCGCTAAATAATTCCGTACCTGCAAATGCAGAATGGGTCACACTAAAAATAGCTTTCCAAGGGTTGGTCACTCCATGCACAGCAAATTCCTTTCAAGAACTGTTTTATGTACCTTATTCAGGATGAAATGGGTGGATGATTCCCCGCCCACAGCTTTTTATGTCTGTCTGTGATGCCTATCACTTTCGAATATTTGATTTTATTCGTTTTCATTCAGCTAACGTTTATTTTCATTTTGTCATCATCATTAGTAAAGCTAGGTAAAACATACTTTTAATTTTAATTTTCGTTTTCGTTTCTTTTTATTTTTTATTTACAGATTCGTAGGGGCAACAGTAACATACATTACATACAACAACAAGCATATATAATTAATTATAAACAAGTACGGAGAATGCAAAACCAGCAGCAACAAAAATTAAAACAACAAAGAACCCTATATACACAATAATTAATACATTTAATTAATGCAATTGATGAAAACAAAAACAAAACAAAACAAAACAAAAATAGCAACAAAAACGAAAGAAGAGCAGCAAAAAAGCTGAAAGAAAAAAGCAACTAAAAGCAAAAAGTTATAACAAACGAAAACGTTTTACTTAGGTAAACATTAAATTTATTTTAAATATAAAATAAAACTAATAAGCATAATAATAATAAATAATAATGATAAATAAAAAAACACAATAATTATAATAGTAAAGCCAGCGCTTTCGATTGTCATTTTGTCACCACCGTACGTGGCGATATATTTTTTAATTAATATTATTATAAATATTATCTTCTTTCTCCCCTCTCACACTCTCTTCGTTGAATATTATTTCCATTACTTTTTGACGCCTAAAGGAATAATCATGTATTTGTATATTGAATAGAGTCATTGCATATTTTTTTTTATACCACCTTGTTTTTAGTATGTTTAACTGATAAGTCAGAGAAAAAATATTATACAATTAATCCAATGAAAAAACGAGTTTTGTGTATTAAAATTTAAGATTTAACAAGATCAGACATTTTAATGAAATTGAATAGATTACACCCTCAAACGACCTTAATAAACGAGAAGAAAAACAGAAGAGGAGATAAAGATAAGTTGAAGAGGAAGAGACGAAAAAGAAAAAGCCCCGAGCATAATGTAAATGTTATGTTAAACCTTAATTTAATGGAAATGATTAAAGCAAAAACAAAAGAAAAAAAAACAAAAACAAAAAACAAGAAACTACAAGCAACAAACAAAACAAAAAGCGAAACTGTTTAAACTATACTTACATAATATATAATCTTTATGAATACAAACTACATTTTTTTTTTGCAGCACGCATTATGTATAAATACATATTAAATAAATAAATTATTTTTATTTTTATTAAATAATTATTATTATTATTTTGTAATAAATAAAAGGAAATAATTGATTGAGAACAAGAAACACGAAAAAGAAAAACCGATCGTGGAAACTAAGAAGAACCCCCTTCATCGTAGATATTTTTTTTTTGTGCGTTAAAATGTATCTAAATGTATGTATTATTATTTTGCCAGTAGTCGATAGAGAGAGTTGTGTTTGGATGAGTTTTAGTCGATATATCGGATATAGAGAACAGATCAGATCAGAACAGAATAGAACAGAAGATAACAGAATAGAATAGAACAGAACAGAAAGCAGGTATGGTAGCTGGCATCTGAGAACCGACGGCTTAGTTGCAATATGTAGATAAGGTCCAATTATAGGGTTTCTGTAACTGTAGAGCTGCATTATTATTTGCATAAATAGTCAGTGTCGCCTTGCCTCGCCCCCGAAAACCTTTTCCCCCTCGCTCCCCATCTTTCCATCCAGCGCTGCTATAAAATATTATTATCGTTAGATTGGCAGAACTGTAAAAATAAATAAAGAGAAAAAGAACAAAAAAAAAATGCATAAGCAAAATAAGAAAAACAAAATAAGAAAAAGGAAAAAAATGAGCAAAACACTTATATTTATTTCTATAGTTTATTATAATCGACATTAAACTAATTATTATGTTAATTATAAACGATTAATGGATACACACACAAACGCAGAATAAAATACATTTTTCCTAGTAATTTAGGCACACACACAAGCAAACACATGCAAAATAAAAAATCTTTAAAAAAAAATGAATAAAAAGTAAAAAGAAAAAAGAAAAAGAACAAAAAATTATAATCATTTACCTTATTTTTTAATTTGCTAATTACATAACCAACAAACACACACACACACACACACTCTACATACAGACACCTACAACACGCATACTCTGACAATTGTATATGTAATGCTGTAATAATCATGATAATATATAGATTCGTTGATGATAATGAGCAAAGAAGCCGTAATGATAATGATAATGATAATAAATGAATACAACAAAATCCAACAAATAAAAAGAGAAACAAATACAATATTTAAACGAAAGTAAAACTTTTTCTTGTTGCCTTTCCTTTTTACCACCATCTATAGTGCCATTTTGTTCAGTGTGAGCTTTTGGTTTTTAAGTTTTCGTTGGGAAATAATTGGGTTTTTGGATATTTTCTGGCAAGGATCCTCGAAGTCAATGGGCTTAGTATGAAGTGGAATCGGTGCAAGTTTCAGATGAGGACCGAACTTAACATTAAAACAAATCCTTCATGTATATTGGTTAAGCATTTAGGATTAAGAAATTCAACCATTTTACCACTCTCATTGGAACATTGAACGTTTTCAAAATTTTTCATTTTCTTATTATCAAAAAGGTTTATTCATTGTCATACTTTATTTATTGTAATTGTTCACTATGGGTTTCTTATGAGTTGTAAAACTACAAATCACATATCTGTAATTGTAATATTTTCATTTCCTGATATTTGTATTATTGTTTTATGTGAAAAGCGCTTCAGGGCAAACTTTTGACTGTGTGTGGGCTTAAGTCTTATGGGAGTTATGAGACTGGCCATATTTTGTCCTATACTTGCACTTTATTTGGGACTGTGAAGGGATTATCTCCCGTAATACAGCTACTGAATACGCAAAGCAATCCACATTTGTATCTCTATTTTTGTACTTTTTTTGATGGACGTTTTGTAGGTTCGCAGTCGAACAGTGCCCTGAACAGCAGCGGAAGTGGCGGCAGTGCCAGCGGAAACGGCGAGGCGGCCGGCTCGGTATCGGGATCAGGAGGCGGCAATGGCGGCGACAACGAGGCTGGCGGCGACAGTGGAGAAGCAGGATCCGGAGGAGGAGGAGGGGCAGCAGAAACCGAGGCAGCGGCGTCGGGTTAGCGCGCTCTTCAGGCGCTCTGTTAATGTAATGTTATTCGCAGGATGTTCGCTCTGGCCAGGGATTAAGTTTTCCATTTTCCGGCAAGCAGCGTGATCACCGAGACACACACACACACACACACACACAGTTACACTAGAAAACCAAAAAGTTAAGAAAAGAATGATAGACAAAAGGAATTCACTCTACAAGACACCCACCCAAAACACTAGAAACCAACAAACAACACCTCCACACACCCCAAATACACCCCACACACACCCCACACACACATGTATGTATGTATCTAGCTATATGCATTGGGCGCAAGCAAATATTTAGCATAAAACTCGAAAGAAAAAAAAAAAACAAAAAATCCACTTTAAACTATGCATAAATAATAATTAAAATAATAATCTGTATTATTGAACAACAAAGAGAATACCCCGGAAGAATGTTGAGAAATAATCGGAAAGCCCTCACCCCTGCGCCCCTCCCCGCCCCGCCCTCCAATATAGTAAATAAACATTAAACAAATAGCTCGCGAAACGTACTAAAACTTAAGTGAAAAATCACAAAAGAAAATTGAGAGAATACTTAGTGAAATAAATCAAAATTTTTTGCCCCGTTTAACGTTTATATATATGCGGTTATACAAAAATATAACGATCACAGCAGTTAGCAATCCATAGTAAAAATAAAAAGGCGGCAAAGTGAGAGAGGATAACTAGAAAAAAAGGAGGATACAACATTTACTAAACTCGCGCAAGTGCATCTATATAAATACGATATAGATATTATATTATATATGAGATATTAACAAGACATTCGTAATCCTAGTAGCAACCCGACAGCCCATGAACCGAAGTCCCCAAAAAATCCACGCAACCTTTAATCCTTCCCGTAAATCCTAATCTCGTAAACCAGGTAAATGAAACGTTCCACGTATAGCAACATTTCCGTGGCCTGTTCTGAAGTAACGTCTAGCATTAACTACGATTATATAAGAAAGCGATCGTCAAAATGCAATATACACTAAAAAAAACACTATACATAAATACAAAGGATATAACAAACTGAGCAACAAGTAAATGGATGTATGAATGAGGAAAACGCTTTTAGCGCGCGACGCCACCCATAAACTTAAATTAACAATGCAAATAATGAGGTAATAAGATGGTAAAGCCAGGATCTTGATATATGTAAAAGTAATCGACAAAAAACCATTTAGCTGCAATTGAAAATTTAAACTAATTTAATACAAATTGAAGTAAAATACAATGAAACCGTTGCTGGTTTTAGAATGTAAGGCCTTAGATCAACCGGAAACTCCTGCGCGACTATAGTACTACCCCTCGGTTCGATTTATTCCGCTCTATCGCTATCCCAATGAAAGCCACCCAGTAAAACTGTTTACATTTCGTTTTGAAAATCTGCGATTATTTCCCAGCACTTTAAGCCCTATCAAAAATCGAAGTAAACAAATGAAAAAATTAAAAGCAAAAGAAAATGAAAATGAAAAAGTAAAAGAAAAAAGGAAAAAGCAAGTCTATTTGTATGTATTTCCATAGAACTCCTTAAATATTATATGAGAAAATATTTTTTTTTTACTAACTAAATGATACATTTATACAATTAATGAACGTTGAGTTTTGTTGCATCAAAACTAATTAAATTTAACTATATACTTATATGTACACACCCACACAAAAACACACACGTACATTCAGACATACTCACACGCACATATGCCTATAATTTCAAAAAAAAAAAAACAAAGAAAAAAAACATTGGAAAAAAACCGAAGATTTCCAACTTCAAATCCCAAACCTTTTTAGTAAATAATCTAAGTAAACGGGAGAGAAGATATATAATTCACTAAAACACACACAGTTTAATTTGTAATTGAAAATTTCAACAGAAGAAAATGAAAACCCAAAACAATATATATACACACATATATTGCATAGAAAAACTTACTTATATATGATGAACAATTTCAGCGTTTCGCTTAAATTATGAGGCAACAACCACATGAAAAATCCAAAACAGAACTTAAATTTAATTAACAAATAAACACAAACATAAACTAATTGCAAAAATAAAAAATGGGGAAACCAAAATTGAAAGACGAAATGATAATGAACATGAAACACAAGAAAAATGCGTAAAGAAAACATTAATTTAAAAACAATAAAAATTACAAACAAAATTATATACATAGAATTGCGTATTTTGTATGTGGTTTGGGGTTATGGTTTTATTTCTGTCTGAAAACTTACAGGTTTGTTGTTAATACACAGTAAACTTGGCATTCAAACCAAGAATCCATGATTCAGGAATGCCAACTGTTTTCAGCTCTCACGACCTGACCATTAAATTCAACATTAATATTTAAAAAGAATTTATTGAGTTCCTAAATTTAACAAACATACATATATGGACGAAAGTACATGTAGTAACGAGCGTGTGCAAAGAAAACTACTTATATAAAGCCGTAGAATTGAATTTAATTTCCGAAACATGGCTTTTCGGAAAGTGACCAAAAACCCGAAGTTTTTAATCCATAGCTTTTCATACGGACATACTTTTTCAAAGCAGCATATCTGTAAAAGCTTGTGGCTTAATACACTAAAAATCAGCATTTTTTTGCAAAACTGACATAATCCATAACTTTTCTTACAGACATCCGATCTTGAAGCGGTTTACTTGTAAAAGCTTGTTGTGTTTGATAGGTCGTAAGAAACAAACATTTGATCTACGACTTTTTAAAAAACTAGCTAGTTTGGCGGTCAATCAGCTAGAAAAAGCTTAACTTTGTACACCCATGGTTTTTAAACTAGCAAAGCTACAGAGTACTATATGTCTTTAAAAAGGTATAAAATATCTAAATACAATAGTTTTGAAATTATAACAAAAAGCTTTTTTTTACACAGAAAATTTATTTATAGCCCTTGCGATTTCTCAAATTTTGTCTGTGGGTCGCATATTGCACGAAATATACTGCAAAGACATTATAATATAACTTTTAAATTTATTGGTAAAATCGAAAAAAATTGCTTTATATATGAGTGGTATGTGGTGAACCATCTGACAGTTGCTCCAGTTGCTGCGGCTCAGCCGGCATCCAGTTCCTTCAGAGCACCAATTTCCGTGAGAGTCTACGTTCGGCGCCGTTTGGCCAGACTGAGATCGGTGGCTCCACCCTCCGGCTTGAGGCGTCGCTTGCTGCTCCGGCTAGCACTGCCACTGCCAGTCGGCTTTAAGCCGGATACGGAGGTTGCCGACATCCGCGCCTCCACCATGGCCTGCGGAGCAATGCTCAGTGGCAGTGGCGACTCGAGGAGGAGCTCGCTTTTGATGATGGCCGGGGCGATCATGAGCAGGTCATTGCCCCCATTACCATTCCGCTGCTGATGATGCGCCTCGGTTCGTTCGCACTTGATGTGCCGCACCGACGCCATATCCGGATTGTTCTCCACCAGTTCCCCATCCGCCGCATGGCCATTCACCATTTTGTTGTCGTTGTTGTTCGTCTCCAGCAGCTGACCACCAGTCGGTCCGCGCTGCTGCTGCCACTCGAGGATGCCCGTCAGCAGCTTGATGTACTTGATGGCCGAGCGCAGGATCTCGTTCTTCGAGAGCTTCTTGTCCGGCGGATGTGTGGGCACCAGCTTGCGCAGCTCAGCAAAGGCGCCGGACACGTTCTGCTGACGCCAGCGCTCCCGGGTGTTGGTGAACACCTTGCGCACACCGCCGGTGCCGCCGACTCCTCCGCCGCCTCCACCACTGGCATTGCCCCCGGAGGAGGAGGCATTACCGCCCCCACCGCCTCCGCCGGCAGAGCTTCCAGAGCTGGGCGGCGCGGTCAGCAATCCGTTGCGGGAGTGACTGCGCGGCGAACTGGACAGCGATCGATTGCCTGGGAGCGGACAAAAAAAGTAAAACACGGTTATTCAATCGCAAAACTTTCATATCGTAATTGTAACCTTATCATGAATCATATTTTTCAACTAAGAAATCTACAACTACATATTTTTCTGAGCAGACGTATCGCCTAATGATATTTTTGACTTAAATTAATATAATATACGGTTTTTAATCGATAAAATTGCAATTGTACTAACGTTAAATTAAAATTTGAGTTTTTTAAGTATTATATAGTGCATGTAAATCACTCAATACTATTCATATCAATCAATGGAGATACGATTTGGTTAGACTTGAAAAAAAAGGTTGTTTGCTTAAACTTAATCTTATGTTACACTTTAGGTCGCGTTTAAACCGATACAACAAAATATAGTGGTTTAGCTTTAAGTTGTTCGTTTTTTACCCAATACCTAGATGTCCTATGCCATAGCCCATAAACCAGAAATGTCTGCTGTAAAAAGGTAATCCTCACCATCCGCCTGGTTGCCATTAAGCACGATGTAGTCCCGCAGATCCTCCTCGTCCTCCTCGGTGTCGTTGAGGGAGAAGTCGGAGAGCTCCGCATCGCCGTCTCCGTCGGAGACCGACTCCGTCTTGGGCTGCAGATGGGGCGTGGCATGGCGGAGCAGGGCAGGCGGCTGTCTGCCGGAGTCCCGGATAACACCATTGCCATTGCCATTTCCGTGTCCGTTTCCGGAACGAGGGGATGGAGATCCGTTGGCCTGGCTGTGTCCGGAGGAGCCACTCGAGGCCGTGCTCCTCTCATCTGCGTTATCCGCTCCATTCGAGCTGCTCGGTAGCCATGCCATCTCTCCGGTGGTCCGGTTGTCCGTCTGTCCGTTTGTCCGGATAAAGGAATAAATGGGATACGTCTGTTCTGTTGCCTTCGAAGTGTCGCAGCAAAGTGAGCAACTGATTCCGTGACTGTGACTGTGTGACTGGAAACCAACCCCCTTCAGGAGAAAGGCGGGGCCAAGGATGCTACGCAGCGAACCACCCCCAAACGAGGCATACACACAAAAGGGGCGGACCCAAACTTGGCGATGGAAGGGGCTGCCGCGTTCTTCGGGGTGCTGTGGGGCAAGATACGTAGCTTATAGGGTTACCAGTATTTTTTTTTAAATTAAGCCACAATCAATCCTTATTTATTGTAATAGAAATAATCTATTAAAAAAAAGTTCCTTTACACTTTGTTATTGTATTACAGTTTTTCAAATTAATTGTCTCTTTTTTTATTTGAATTCTTGTTGTGAGCGCAACGAAATTAAGCAGACAAATTAATAAAAAACCATAATTTTGAATAAAATAACTTAAAAACTACTGATTTTTTTTTTTAAATTTGCCAGACCTAACCCCTTTAATACATAACATAATTAATAATAAAATAACGTTGTGTAGTGAAAATTGCAACACAAATTTTGATTGCCACCCATCTTAATAAAAATAAAGGCGCTGGTCGGGCAATGTTGGTTCAAATATGTGTAAATCAATTTAATTGTTCCCCCAATGTTTTTATTAAATAAAAAAGAAAAAAGCGAAAAACTTTTGAATTGAGTGTGAAAGACTTGGATTAACTACCTTTTTTTACCAGTGTATTATTACCCTTACATGTGTTGTTACAGGTTTCGTTTTGTTATTTCCCATTGACTCACCTTTGGACAACCATCTTACTGGGGGCTTATGGTATAGGGTCCGCCCACATTTAGGCGCTTCTGCTTTTTGACGATCGTCGTCGTCGGCGAAGGTGGCTTCTGCTCCTGTTTTCCTTGCTTCCGGTCACCCCTCCCCTCTCTCTCTGGATCGTGGAGCTCCAGCTCCGACTCGGTGGATCGCCTTGCCCTGGGCAAATCAACTGCACCACTGGGCACTTGAACGGGCTGGAGACTCAATCTCATGGCGGGTGTGGGATTCACGAAGATCATCTTTTCGCACATCTCCTCGCTGACCCCGGAGTGACCCTCGCGCACGACCCGGGGTCGGAAGACATACGAGGTGGCCGACATCTGAGCGTCCACATACTGTACCTGCACCTCCACGGGAAAGTCGCTGCCCAGCACCTCGTTGATCTCGAACGGTGCGCTGTCCGCCACGTGGAGTCGCAGCGGCAGACGGGGGGACATCTTGAAGGTGACCTGTCGGACGAACCGGGAGAGGTCACCATCGTGCACTGATAAACAAAAAAAATGGAATAGTAAAAATTAATATCTGACTTCAGAAAACTTAATTTCCTTAATTTACACATTTTATATTCTTTAAATGAATGTGAAAAATACTAGATTAGGAATGATTCCTATTTGTTTAAAAGTAGTTTATTTAAATTTAATATGGTTTAAATTTAAATTACATTTTAGATGTTAAAATCTATTTCGGAAATATTCAAAAGAAATATAAAAAAACTGCAATGCATGAAAATCGAAGCAAAAACTCGTTGTATTAAGTATGAAATACTACGATTTACTATGTTTTTTTTTTACCAGAGTGGCCGTCCTGATGATCGCGGCTTTCTCGGCCCGCCCGCAGGTAGACACTCCACGTGGGCTCCAGCATGTAGGGCAGGTCCGGGTCGCAGGCCTCCATCCGGCAGCCGAGCACAATGTTCCGACTGATCACACAGCGTCCGGAGACATTTGGCACCGAGCCGCGATTGCAGCTCACCCGCTGGCAGTCGTCCACCACGTTCTGGTGCCGCAGGAGGTTCTTGTAGCTCATCCCGTTCGTATCACTCTAATCCCGATCAAAGCGAACTTTAAATTTATTTTTAACCAACAATTTTCTACAACTCGAAAATTTAGTGAAGTACTAATATTATGAGTGGCATCCAAATAAATGGTGAGACAAATAGCAGTCGCCTGCTCGTTACGGTTTTTTTTTTAATTTCCAGATATGAATATGCGATTCTGTCCAAAACGTATCACATTTTCCCTTATGGTTTCAAAATGTTTTCTCATTTGAATCATGTTGTTACACCATTTGTATAGGCGTTTTAAAATTAGTTTTAAAAATATATATTCGTAAAAAGAAAAGGTACAGCGATGCTACATCTTAAGTCCTCGGAAAAGGCTTCATGTAATATTTGTATCGCAATATTTTAAATGACGGAATATGGATTATTTTAAAGGGATTTTATATGAAATCTGAAATTATTTGCATAATTTTCTGTGAAATTTTTAAGATTATTTATTAAACAATTTATAGGATACTAAAACTTTCTAACAAATAGTTAACAAAAAAAAATAACAAATGTTAATATTTCTTGTGATTGGGGTATAAATCCATTACCAAAAAAGTATTTTTTACTGCCCAACACATTATTTACAGCTCTGTTTAAAAATAAAACCGTTTCATACACTAAGATTAATGATTTTTAAAAAATTTTTGTATTAGTGTACGTTTTAATCTGCAGCCTTGCTTTTGAGCTTCACTTTTGACTCTCGTTGTCAAGTGCAAATAACCATTAAATGTTCGCAACCTTTATTTTCTTTTACTTTTTGTGTCTACTTGAGGATGTTAATCTTAGCCTGGGATTAAGGGCCAGTAAAAGTTTTCCCCAAAGCGTTGAAATTTCAACGCCACCTTCATCGTACAAATATCTATGCTTCTCTGATTTTTTCACGCCCTAAAATCAAATTATCTAATTAATAAAAGGAGGAATAATTTTGAAATAGAGGTGGGGTTACTGGAGTCAAAAGTTAGGAGTGAGGAGTACTCAGTGCGCAGGCGATAAAAGGCGGAGCTTAGGGTTGTTATGTCCTGCACAGGAAAAAAATTTATGGTAAATTATATTCATTTTCATGAAGCTCTTTAATTTCATTTGGTCTTAATAAGTGACATATCGCTTTGGTATGTTTAAATAGAGAGAAATCGAAAAATAAACGTTTTTGAATTTTATTTTTGCATTACCAATTTAATGGATAAAATAATAGTGTTTGTAGACCTGTGAATATTAAATTGATACTGCCAATTTTTTTGTTCGGTGTGAGCATTTATTCAGCTGAAAATTTGTGTGGGCACTGGAGAAATTTAACGATAACTTGGAAAGGAGGTTTATATTTCGTAGAGCACCTTTAGAAGTTGCAGGGCCAGGATTGACCAGGTAACGTCACTCCTGGACTAGGGGTACTGCTAGATGGTCTTCAGCGTGGTCTCCGAGATTCTGCTGATTACCAGGGCCAACCTGCTCCTCCAAAACTGACAGCTTGAGTAGCTGCATAATTTTCCTGTAGGGACCCACATAGATAATAGTGTGTGTGCTTTCTTGCTTAAAGCAGGCCAGACTTCTGCCGAGGGAATCTTGTTCTGGCAGCCCCACATGATGATGGAAGATGGTGCATGTGTGACCCGCATCCCGAAAGAGCAGGGTCAACGTGACCATGGCATCGCGACAGCAGTAGGATGTGGCATGGAATGGTGGCTTGCCTACAATTTCGATGCAGTTGGAGCTTCTCGTTTATGTCGGAGAGATCTTAAACACACAAGAAGCCTTTGAAACCGGGACAGTTCTTTAGCAGCAGAACGCCATTTAGGGTATGTACACTTATTTCTTGTCGTTTAAAGGGTATACCCTTATAAAATATAATATATTATAATTTCAGTCAAAAGTTGCAACGCTGTGAGGGAGGCATTTCCGATCCTATGAAGTAGAACTATTTTTGGAGCTTCACTGTACGCAAACTAGTCTCTCAGTTTTGAAACTAACTGAACAAAGCTGTCCCAAAAATCGGCATACCTACGTTCATATTTCCCATAAGAACAATCGGTAAAATAAATTTTTAAAAGTTTACTATTTATTCATCATATTTTTAATATAACAGCTATTATAATAGACCGAGCTTATATAGTTTACAAATCATTACAGTGTACACTGTTTAGACAAGTCAATAACTTATCCAAAATTAATCTTTAATTCATCTGGTTATTGTGGGAACTTAAAAACATTTAAAGTGGCAGGAGAGGATGAAGCACCAGCAGAGCCAACCTGACGTGGTCCAATTTCCTCTACTAGCAATTCATATTCATGGGCAGGTCCTTAAATCTTTGAACTTGGACATTATAGGGTTGGCCTTGGGAACGCAGCTCTAATCCCGCTCACAGTCCAATCGACACTCACCCAGAGAGCCACCCCCCGAAATCCGATTAGCGGCAATCAAATAATATCACATCTCATCAAAACAACCCGAGAGGGAAAAAGTGAGGAAAAGTCAACAGTCGTCAGCATCAGAATCAAATTAGCAGCAGTTTGGTGGCTAATTCGAATGCTCTTTATCATTTTCTGGCAGGCGTCTGTGACTTTATGGCACGTGTGTGGCCAGGATAGATAAGAGCATACCCCGGCAAACTCCGGCAAACTCTGGCAAACTTCAGCAAACACCGACACGTGGCCCACAACGCAGGTTTTATGTGGAGTGGGCCTGGTCAAATGGATTTTCACACCCACTCGACGCCGGCAAAGCCGCCAATTAATAAAATTCAATTATTCCAAGCCACCGCAGACCGATGGGAAGAGATGATAAAAAGTAACGACATATTTCGGCACTTGGATCGGATTTGAGAGGGTTAAAATGGTCTCTGATAGTCTTATAAATATGTCCACAACCCAACCATGTTTGGTTATCACTAGTCCATAAAAATACATAGAAAGCGAGTTAAGGGAATGTATTTTTTTAACTTTTACTGTAAAATAACCAACATTTGAAAACTGCAAATTAAATTAAAATATCAATTGCTTAAATATAAAAAATACAACAGAAAATTATGCCATTTTAAATTGGAAAACATATTCATGTAAATTAGCCTTATAATAAATGAAAACTAGTTAAAATAATTATTTCTTAATAAATTGGTAAAGATATAACTGAGAATTTAAAAAGTAACAATTTACCCTTGAATTCTTAAATACATTAATATACGTTAAATAATACAAATATAGAAATCTTTAGTAAAGTAAGATACTAAAATACACCTATGGCTAATACCACATAATCTTATACTATTATTTTTAAAACCGGCGTAAACAGTTTTGCAACTATTATACAAACCTTGAGATGATATGTTTTTGTTATTTATACATCCGCGTATTACGGGTGCCGACAGCACAGCCCCATCCCACCGTTTTCAGTTCAGCAACCCCTGAAATGTGGCTGGAATCCCCGCTGTTAGGGACTTGTGCCGCCACCTGTCGGCCAGAACCCGCTCTCGCCGCCTTCGAGTCCCAATACCCGTTGGCAATCGATAACCTGGCAATCAGCTGTATTTGGCGTTTCCATCGGTACGTGCCACAGAGCACACCTGACCAGGTAAAGCTTCTAAAGACGAATAGAGACTATAAAGTATAGGGTAGAGCGCTGGGGGGCTAAAAGCTTGGCGCCACTTTCATTTGTGCCTGTGCAAAAGCAGAGGATGGATAGCAAATAGTGAGATAGTGAGAAAGTGAGTAATGCCACGACAATTGTCAACGTGGGGCAGGCCCGAATGCTTAACGCCGACGAGCAATGCTGTAGGCAGTGAAAAGCTGCCGCTCACGTGGCGAAATGCGTGACTTGACCCGCAAATCCGCCGCCCAGCCACTCCCCCGGAAAACACCCCTCGGAAAACGTGCTGCCAGCCCCCTTGAATCCACCCCCAGCGGCCACCCACCGCCCCCAAAAAAGGCAGAAGGTTCCACAGCTTTTCTTAACCTCAAGTTGGTGCACGGGGCTTGGTTTGGTTATCGTTTTTGGTATTAGCTTGCAAAATAAAACTATATTTTCATTCTTAAAGCTTTTCTGGAATATATGCGTTTTCGGGAATTAAAAACGCTTTGGCTGTATATTAATTTTATATATTGTCTATCAATTAAATAAATATAATTTTGTTAATTAAAAAAATTTTAAAGCATTTAATTATAGAGGAACATACAATTTAAAAGTATGTTTGTATAATTAAATAATTTTTGTAAGCTTTTTACTATCTAAATCTATTAACATGAATATATTTTCATTATAATTTAAGACAGACAAAGTAAGCCCTGAAAACAAGAAATATATTTTAATTTATATATGTTGCATTTGTAGTACTTAAACAAAAGTCCCTAAATTGTTTGTTTTTCTTTTTTAGCTCAAAGTAAAAGTTCCGCCCAAGGGTTAATGCTTGAGCCCGAGTGTTTGAGCCGATTTGAGCGAGTAGCCGAGAGCAGAAAGAGCGATTGTGGGAAAATTCTCGGAATGTGAATTTGCGAGTGCTTGTAGCTTGAAGCTTGGGGGCCAGTCATTATTCGTACGGGTCTCCAGCCAGAAGGTCGACTATTAACGCGTTCGCCGAGAAATCGAAGGAATCGTGATTGAAAGTGCTTCAAAGTGATTGAAAGAAGAGAAGCAACGACCGCTAGAACTAAAACACTCAATATTTGTTTTTTGGTGACTGTGAGAGTGGCGGAGCTGAATAAAATTTAACCGCAAAAGTGAAGAACATAGCCAAAACTAATATATAGAATATCAGAGAGTACGACAGAGAGAGCAGTCCGGCGAGCAAGCGAGAGCGAGAGTGTAAGTGCAATTGTCACGTTGTTGCAATATAAAAAAAATAAAAAAAGTACAGAGAGAAACCCATTATCATATTGCAAAAACAAAACCATTCTCGGGCCCAACTTACATAAAGAACTCGGCTCGTAACGTCTAAATGGCGTATATACATGGTGTTTTTTGTTTATTAATAGGTGCCATCTGCCCACTGCACAGTGCACGTTGTACAGAGAGGCAAAAACAATCCATCAATTGCAGCGTAAACAAAAGCTCTGCGTACATACATACCTGACCCTACTGAACGATACTCGAGTGTCTGCGGTTCTGGGTTAAAAATAAAATTAAATAAATAAAGTTTGATTGCTTGGGCGAGCCAAAAGTTACGCATACGCAGCGTGGTCCAAGGTGGGCATGAACTTTGGCAATCTGTGGCAACCTTTATTCAACTGCAACAGTTCGCAATGCGAAACCGTATCACTAATTTGGCTAACAGTACATATACATATATAGGGCTTATGTGAGGTAAAATTACCCAGTTTTAAAGGTAATATGAAAACAAGTTTTAATAGTCTTTGATCAATCATCACTTGGTTTGTTTGGTATAGTATTAGATAATTTATTTAATCTTTTAAAAAGTGTTTAAAAATAATCAAAAGATTAATTTCGATACTTTTATTACGCATACGTGTCGAGGGCCCTGTTAAATGTTATAGATCGCCACATATTTTTGACTTCTTTAGTCCTTGATATGCTTAAAAATTCTTATTTTAGCAACATTGTTTCGTTTTTAACCTTTATCAGTTTAGGGTCTCCTAACTATAATTAACCAGCCAACTTGCTGCATTTAAAGTACGCATTCGCCATGTGGGCCCATTTATTTTTGATGTACATATGTCTATTTTAATTGAACAGATTTGTAAGGCCCCAGACTTGTTATACAAGTTAAAAATAAAACGTCCTTTTTTGTGCATTGTATTTTGCCACAACCCATATCCCACAATTCATAACCATATTCCCCGCCCCTCGGTTACGAGACTGTTATCCACCGTCTGCGAATCGTACCACCTGCATTATCTAACATCCCCGCGAATGACGCACGACATACTGTCCTACCGCAATCCAATCCTCCCACAAGGACTCACTCGACCAGTTGGCCCTTTGATTTGTTAGCGTTTGACAAATCCGCGTAAAAGTTTACTGACGTGAATTATGTAAGGACGTTAAATTGAGTGAAAGATTTAAACCCTTTAAAGTATTAAATATTTTGCTGATTGTTTGTATAATACAAATTTGCCTCATAGAAAATAGTCAAGTTAACTTCTCTTAAGGTAGTTAACTTATTACAAGGAACATTGCTTCATTACAAAAATTAGTCTGCTTATTTAATTTTTTTTGAGTGGACTAACTTTCATTGTGGTTACGTCTTCACATTTTTCTTCCTCTTTAAAAAGCCTTTAAATACCTACAAGTTAGGTGTCGATTTTACTATCAGAATGTTTATTTCGATTATTTACCTTTAACGTGCAAGTGTGGGTCACCTTTGGTTTTTTCTGAATAGCTTCTGGGCTTGACTTCCATGGAAAACTTTAAACATATTTACAAGTATGGACCCATGTTAATTATATGAGAACTCCTAAAACATTTTTTGCATTTAATCAACATATGTAGACCATGTATTTTAAATGTGCCACGTCAATATTTTCCTGTGTGCACTTATAATTATCAATAATTGGGCACCCAATAAATCAGTCAGGAGGAAGTTTTCCAAAGGAACTTTCTCCTAGTTTCCTTGTGACTACCGAAATCTTAGTTTCATTTCCTTTTTGCTTTCTGCTACACTTTAAATGCAGCAAAAACCGAAAACTAAGGTTCACCCGAATGCTTAAATGAAATGTGGGTTTTGCTGATTTTGCCTAATTGCGGAGAATGAACCAGGGCTTTATGCAATCTGTAAAATTGAATTCAGCAAGTATTTTTTTTCGATATTGCATAACCTATCAAGTAAACAGTGAAATATGAGTTTAGGGTTTTTTTATATTACTTCAGTTATTAATAAGTCAGCGGATTTATTTAGAAAACCATACATTGTGCAGGAAAGCGGAAAATGCAAACTAATGCGACTCGCGGGGGCTTATCTTATTTCTTGTATCTATCATATTGTATATTGTGTACATTTTTATCTGTGTTGGGGTGTGAATGGGGCTGCCTTGCGATTGCAAAACGGCATCCGTTGGCCGCAACAACAAAGAACCAAACACTCAACGCCTGCAGCTGCACGTGAATGCAACATCGCTCCATCTTCCTTCCACACCGGCCCACTACCATCTTGCCGCCTCCCTCGCACGCCGTACTGATGCCAATTATTGTAGTAAAGCTACAGTAGAGGGAACTTTACCAAGAAAAAGTCCAAAGCCGAATATATCAATATTTCAAATTATTATTGTTATTGTTAGAAAAACATTAATACTAATATTCTGAACTATGCAAGTGCTCAAATTCTTTAAAAAGTAAATCTGTTTAAAAAATTACAAGGGATTTCTCTATTAAAAATAATTATTCAATAATAATAAACATACAAAGCAATACTTTAGATAACTTAATAAGTGAAATAAGTTCCTCCTATAGAATATCCACTGTATTATCTATCATTGGCACAGATGTCATCATGCCATTAATCAGGTGTTAATCAAGCCGACGAGTGGCTGAGATTTTGAAAGTGGTCAACGTGCTTCAGGCACATGTCATAGGTTGCCTTTTTTGTCAATGGGGACCAATTTTCATTTAACCCTTTACTTTTTTAACCCAGTTACTTAAGTTCTATTCTCGTCAGGAAATTGACTGACTACCATTTCAATTATTTTCTCCCTTAACTTCTGGATTCATGCGATTCATAGAAAATAAATGCCCGTCAAGCCACGTGAATAAATTTAGAGAAAGTACCTCTAGCAAGCAACGTGAATAAATTAAATGTATATATGTACATACATACATATGTACATATTTGGCTGATTGATTGAAAGGGGAAGCTGAAATCGACGCGACATCCAGATGTTTGTGAAACGCAACCCAACGCCGCAACAGATTTCGTGATGTATTTCGTCATAAGAACGACGATAAACTATTTCACAACCCCAAACGAAACACAATCGATCCCCGTTTGTGCAACAACACAGCTTTGAATGAAAGTACAAGTCGATTCTGCAATTCAGTTGGATAATTCATTGAAGCCTTTTAAATTGACTAGGACTTTTAAATTGCAAATTCTTTATTACCGAATAAACATGAAAACTTTTGTATTATTATGTTTTTTTTTGTTTTTTTCAAAATCCTAAACCGTTTACAAACCTTTATAAAGCAATAAGTTTGCTTCAATATTTAGTCATTTTAGAATGTTCTTAAATAAGACATTCAATTCATAGTATTAACTGTAATAAACAATTAGTTACAATTACAATTTGTAATACAATATATGTATTTTCACCGAGGTTATAGTATTGTAATAAATTATACCTTTACCTTTTTTATGTTTTTTTCAGAAATCTCTTTAAATATTAAATTATACTTCCACACAAATTGCCAAAATGGAGAACCTAAACACAATGGAGGGCGGCGAGTCCACGGAGTCCACACATAACACCAAAGTGTCCGATTCAGCATATTCAAACAGCTGCAGCAACAGTCAATCGCAGCGCAGGTAAGAGCATAGTTCTTTGATGGGAAAACGTGACATCTAAATGCGTACTATATCCGAACAAAAGCATGTAAGACCCCAGAAAGTAGGCAAAACTTTTCGAAGAGGTTGGACGGACATGGCTAGACCGAACAAGAATATTATTACATTTAACAGGATTATAAATGTCTAATTGCGTTGTCAGCTGACTGAAATTATAGCAGTCAATCAAAGCTATACTATAAGCTTTGATATTGATATGTTTATAAAGAAAGATAAGGCCTGTCAATTTTACGTATTTCAATGGTAAGAATGAAGAGTAAATATCAAATTGAAACTTGCAATATTTTTTGTTTCCGTGTAAGTAAGGTAGGGAAGGGTACCAAATCTAGTTTATAAGTATCTGAATACTTCTCGCCACTGTACGCAATAACAATCTCCCATTTGTTCCCCTCTACAGTGGCAGTTCCAAGTCCCGTCTGAGCGGCAGCCACTCATCCGGCAGCAGTGGCTATGGCGGCAAGCCGTCCACGCAGGCCAGCAGCAGCGACATGATCATCAAGCGGAACAAGGATAAGTCGCGCAAGAAGAAGAAGAACAAGGGGGCGGGGGGACAGACGCAGGTGCAGACCCAGATCTCGGCATCGGCATCCCTGGACGAGGAGGAGAAGCCACGACCCAGTGGTGGTGGTGGCAGTGGCTGCGTGGATCAGCAGATCCTGTTGCAGGATCAGCAGCACGGCGAGGATCACCGCAACGAGCCGGAGGTCACGGAGCACGGAGTAAGGCAGCGGGACAGGGAGAGGGAAAGGGAGGAGGAGGATCAAACCGAGTCCGAGTCGGAGGCGGATCGGGGAGCGGGCGGCGTGGCCAAGTTGGATACGACACAGAGCTTCCCCATTCCATCGCCGCTCACCGTCAACATTGTTCCGCCATCGATGGGCGGCGGAGTGGGCGGCTGTGGGGGAGTGGGCCACGCCTCCGGCCTGGACAGTGGGCTGGGAAAGTTCGAGAAGACCTGGGACTCGGCCCCGGGCAAACTGGAGTCCATGGCGGGCGTGGGCGTGGCAGGCGTTGGCGGAGGCGCCGTCGGTGTCCAGCGGGGGGAGCGCATCAAGGAGGAAAGCTTCTGTTGTGTGATCTCCATGCACGACGGCATTGTGCTCTACACCACGCCCAGCATCACCGATGTCCTGGGCTTTCCACGCGATATGTGGCTGGGCAGGTCCTTCATCGACTTTGTTCACATCAAGGATCGGGCCACGTTCGCCAGCCAAATCACCACGGGCATACCCATTGCCGAATCCCGTGGCAGCATGCCCAAGGATGCGAAGAGCACCTTCTGCGTCATGCTGCGTCGCTATCGGGGCTTGAAGTCCGGCGGATTCGGGGTGATCGGCCGCCCGGTGAGCTACGAACCCTTCCGGCTGGGACTCACCTTCCGGGAGGCTCCCGAGGAGGCCAGACCGGACAACTACATGGTCTCCAATGGCACCAACATGCTGCTCGTCATTTGCGCCACTCCCATCAAGAGCAGCTACAAGGGTGAGTTCTTTAGCCAAAAGGGTTTCCCAACCAACTGTCTACACTGATAAATATTTAAATATTTATCACTTTGATTTTATTTATTTAATTAAAATTAAACGTCTTATACATAATGCGTTTAAAGGAAATAGAATGCATTTTAAATCCAATTTTTTTCACATTAATTCAAATGTTAAAGCATTAAGAGATACAATCGTATAATTATTGTATTTATTATTTATTATGATTTTACATAAATATTATCCTTTTATAGTTAAATTCAATTTTGCAATAGGAAATTTTAAATTCAACAGCCAGTTATTTGTTTGCACTATTCTATATTTGTTATCAGTGTTCCCAGTCAGTTGAATAGAAGGAGTTCCATTTAACCAACAATTTTTAACCCACAGTTCCCGACGAGATCCTCTCCCAGAAGAGCCCCAAATTCGCCATCCGGCACACGGCCACCGGGATCATATCGCATGTGGACAGTGCGGCGGTGAGTGCCTTGGGCTACCTGCCCCAGGACCTCATCGGACGCAGCATCATGGACTTTTACCACCACGAGGACCTCTCCGTCATTAAGGAGACCTACGAGACGGTGATGAAGAAGGGCCAGACGGCCGGCGCATCCTTCTGCAGCAAGCCGTACCGCTTCCTCATTCAGAACGGCTGCTACGTCCTCCTGGAGACCGAGTGGACCAGCTTCGTCAATCCGTGGTCGCGCAAGCTGGAGTTCGTTGTCGGACATCATCGAGTCTTTCAGGGTAAGTTTGCAACACAACCTTAATCCTACCGAGCTATAGAAAATCATATAGTAAAGTCCTAAACCAAAAATAGATTACTACAATATTTAATTTTTTTTTTTGTATTATATACTTTTAAAAGGAAGGAACTATTACATTTTGATGAAAAATAATACATGCTCAGAAACATAATCAATAAAATAAAATAAAAAATATTATTGCACATTTGAAATAAATAAACTTATTAGTTTACTTAAAATGTTCACTCACTTCAAATTGAAACAAAAATTTCAAGTCGAGTAAGCCAAGTGCATAGAATTTAGAGTCATACATCACTCTATTACTAACCAACATAAAAATATATGTACATAATTAATATAAGTATTTATCTTAGGACCCAAGCAGTGCAACGTCTTCGAGGCGGCGCCCACGTGCAAAAACAAGATATCGGAGGAGGCCCAGAGCCGGAATACGCGTATCAAGGAGGATATAGTGAAGCTGCTGGCAGAGACGGTCTCCCGGCCGTCGGATACCGTTAAGCAGGAGGTCTCTCGTCGGTGCCAGGCACTCGCTAGTTTTATGGAGACTTTGATGGACGAGGTGTCGCGGGCGGATCTCAAGCTGGAGCTGCCGCACGAGAACGAGTTAACGGTGTCGGAGCGAGACAGCGTGATGCTGGGCGAGATCTCGCCGCATCATGACTACTATGACAGCAAGAGTTCCACCGAGACGCCGCCCAGCTACAACCAGCTGAACTACAACGAGAACCTGCTGCGTTTTTTCAACAGCAAACCGGTGACGGCACCGGCGGAGCTTGATCCGCCCAAGACGGAGCCGCCGGAGCCGCGTGGCACCTGTGTGAGCGGGACGAGTGGACCCATGAGTCCCGTCCACGAGGGCAGTGGTGGCAGTGGCTCCTCCGGGAACTTCACCACCGCCAGTAATATACACATGAGTAGTGTGACCAATACGAGCAATGCGGGCACAGGTGGCACTGGAACGGCGACGGGAACTGGAACAGGTGCAGGTACAGCTACTGGCACTGGAACGGGTACTGGAACAGGTACTGGAACAGGTACAGATACTGGAATATGCAAAGGAACTGGAACTGGCACTGGAACTGGCACTGGAACAGAGACCGAAACAGGTACTGGCACAGGGAATGAAACCAATTCCGCCACCGGAACAAACTCCTCCAAAAACGGAGGCGGAGGAGGAGGAGCCACTGCACCACCCATTACCCTCACCGAATCCCTGCTGAACAAGCACAACGACGAGATGGAGAAGTTCATGTTGAAGAAGCACCGCGAATCGCGTGGACGCACTGGCGAGAAGAGCAAGAAGTCGGCCAACGACACCCTGAAGATGCTGGAGTACAGTGGCCCAGGGCACGGGATCAAGCGAGGTGGCTCCCATTCGTGGGAGGGCGAGGCCAACAAGCCCAAGCAGCAGCTGACCCTGGGAGCAGATGCGGTCAAGGCAGGAGCAGGCGGCGGACCAGCGTGCTCTGGTGGAGCGGGTTCGGGAGGAGCCGGTGTGGCCGGAGGAGGAGGAGGAATATTAACACCGGAGGTCAGGACCACGACGGCGGTATCGGGAGCGGGAATTCCCGGCGGAGCGGGAGGAGGAGCGGCGGCGGCAGGACCCACCTCCTCGGTGGGCAGCTCCACGCCAGGACCCTCCTCCTATCCCTCTTGCACGCAGAACATCAACCTCTGGCCGCCCTTCTCGGTGGGCATCACCCCGCCCGTCCACTCCACGCACACGGCCATGGCGCCCAGCAGCTTCTCCACCGCCGCCGGCCTCTTCCCGACCTTCTACTACATCCCCGCCTCCCTGACGCCCACCAGTCCCACCCGGGGATCCCCGCGCATCCACAAGCATCCGCACAAGAGCGGCGTGGGCGTGGGCGTGGGCGTGGAGCTGCCCACCACCTCGCAGCAGGCGGCTGCGGCGACCGCCCAGGCCATGCCGCTCCAGTACATGGCCGGGGTGATGTACCCCCATCCCTCGCTCTTCTACACCCATCCCGCTGCGGCCGCCGCCACGGCCATGATGTACCAGCCGATGCCCTTTCCGGGCATGGCCAACGCCCTCCAGATGCCCGAGCAGCCGATGGGCTCCCAGTCGGCCTACAACAAGACGGTATACACGGTGAGTCATCCTATATTCACTGATGAAATAGTGGAATAGTGGACATCGAAAACAAAACTGAAAGTCTCAATTTAATTGTTTCCCTTGAATGAAAAATATTGAATTGAGTATGAAATTCTTGGTTATACTACGTTGTAAGTTAACCACATCTCCTCTATTTGTTTCTCACAGGCCGCGCCGGCGTCCATAACGAAAAAGGTGCCGGGGGCTTTCCACTCGGTCACCATTCCCGCCTCGGTGGAGCGGCCCTCCTCGCTGACCACCTCCGCGAAGGCGGAGCCAGGATCCAATGGGGCGGGCTCCGATTCCTGCAAGAAGGAGGTGACCGACTCCTCGCCCATTCCCTCCGTGATGAACGACTACAACTCCGACCCGCCCTGCAGCAGTAATGCCCCCAACAACAAGGTACTTACGGGTAGAAAACTAGAAAGGCAAATGACATTAGAATGCCCTTTGCAAGCGAACAAATATTTATTAATTAATATATTAAACTGAAATCACGTCCGTTCTTCCACAGAAATACACGGACAGCAATGGGAACAGCGATGACATGGATGGCTCCAGCTTCTCCTCGTTCTACTCATCCTTTATCAAGACCACGGACGGATCGGAGAGTCCGCCGGACACCGAAAAGGATCCCAGGCACCGTAAGCTAAAGGTATTTACTCAGGTCCCATTGATATCCTGCCCCGTTGTTGAATTTGTGAAGTGTGAAGTGCTTTCAAAGCTAATTTTAATGTTGTTAGAGGCATTTAATGAGTGATGTCATACTTTGCATTCCACAGGGCATCAGCGTATCGGAGAGCAAGATCATGGAGCACCCGGAGGAAGAGGAGGACCAGACGCAGCATGGGGATGGGTAGTAGCCAAACCCGCAGTTGCTGCTGACCGACGTGCACAACCGGATGCGCAATGTCGGTGCCTAGGACTACGAACCAAGCAGCAGACACCGCCGAACAGCAGGGATCCTGGAAATGAGTGAGCACCAGTCATCCATCAACAAACTCTCCCAACTAACCCCGGGTTTTCCTTTTAGTTCTCCGATTATCCGCTGGATGTTAAATATTCTGAATCTGGTCGAATGAGCGATGAAAACAGCAAGATGGGCTGAAGCAGTTTCCACCATAATACAAAACAGGATGGTCTCGAAGGATCCCCACAAACTAATCTAAACAGAGGAAAATGTAGATCTCATTGCCAAGAAAAGCGCTAAGAAGAAGTCGGCTTAATATTTTAGTTAAACATTCTAAATGTTCTGAAAATAGCCCATGTCAGTTTTAAACATTTTATTTTAATTTTAAGAAACTTGTTAATTTATTTTTCAATTTTTGTGCACTAAATTAAAAAATATCTAATATTTGGCTGGATTTTTTAAGCAAGCGATTTTCGGTATTTATTTTGAAACGAATTTATTACAATATCTATGCATAAACCAACAAAGTTTGCCGATCAACTTCGAACTCAAAATGTGTTTTCTTCAAAATAAGGAATATCATAATTTTTTAAATATATTCTTATTTATTTTGAGACAGATGTTTTTAGTACATATTTGACGAAGCATAAAGTATTTTATATTCTTGCTTATAGAGTGCTCTAATTGTCACACTAGTTATTCCGTTTCGAAAAATTCGTCATAGGGTATGTTGTTCCACAGATTTTGCACGATGGATCTGAAGACCTTGGAGCAGGCCTCGTTGATTTTGGGCTGGACATCCAGAGCCAGGGTGTTCCACTCCTGATTTAGAACCTTCAAGGTGCTCTCCCGCAAGTCCACGTTGTCGTTGAACAGGTTCGTCATGTCGAAGTGACCACTGTGGGTTGGACATTTGAAATATGTAAAACCTATTAACTGGCTCGGCAATTCTCACCCTTTGGCCTTGGTAATCGTCTTGTAGTCCGTGATGTTGAGGTATGTATGGCCATCGGCCCGCTTCACCGGCTCCGCCATAATCTTCGACTTGATCTGGACCTCGTCCATCCGAATCGTGAGATCGCCCTTGCTAACGATGGGCAGGATGAGCAGTTTGCCATCCACATCGTACTTGGCCCGCACCTCCAGTTGCGGTGCATCCATGGCCATGGTCAGCTTGAGCGGCTTCGCTAGGTCCTTGGTGAAGCCCTTCAGACTCTTGACCACCACCGAGTTGGCCAGGTTGTGCAGCTTGGCATTGTTCATCAGCAGCCTGAACTGCAGCGACTCCGAGTGGCCGCCGCTCTCCACGCGCATGTTGCCCAGATCGATGGGCTCCAAGCCGGCCACCTGCCGCTCCGGAATGCCCCGCTTAAAGGCCCCGAAAAAGGTCTGCGCCTGCGCCACCAAACACGCCTCGTCCTGCATCTTACACCGCTTCAAAGGCGATGCTGAAAGTAAACAATCAAACTTAGTCTTTTAAATTGTTTAGCTGTTAATGCTCTCAGTTACTAGTTAGCTTTTTGTTTTAAACCTTAAGCTAGTTTTATATAAATAAATTAATAAATTATTATGTCATACACCGTTGAATTCGTAATAAAATTTCCAATCGAATGGCATTCACAGTTAATTTATCGCAAAAAATGATGATGTACCTCCTTATCAAAAATGCAAAAAATGGCCATAAAATTAATTTCTTCAAATATTCGAAAAATCTGTTTTTCCATCAAAACAAATTAATTTTTCTGAACCGATTGTGGATGAGTAGTATAGGTCGCCAGCTATTTAAAACAGTCACTCTTATATACATACGTCTAGTTTTGGCCAAGTTACAGCAAAAAGACACAAAAAATCAGTTTTTCTAACAGAACGCTGAGAAGTAATGATCATAAAGGGGGTTGGAATTTAGAACGCGTATTTTATGGCCACGGAGTATTTTCTTCAGCGGTCTAAATTCATTTTTAAAAATGAATTTAGGCCGGGATACTGATTAATCCAATTAGAAACCCAAATTTAAATGCAGATTAAATTACAAGCCAACATTTAAACTGAGATCAAAGTTAAGCCACAAACTTTTAGAATCATGCCTTTGCTTAAGCATGCTATGGGCTAACAACTACGAGTTTCGAAATATATATATGAATTAAGATTTTATTCATATTTATATTTCATATTAAAAATAAAAAATTAAAGTCTTGGCAATTTGTTCTCCGAAGAGGCACTTCGTCAAAGTGTTCGACACTCACGGAATATGTTAGAGCCCGCGTCACTGCAAGGAACCAGGCATATGAGACCCATCCACACGAGGAATATTGAGGCACCGGTTAGCTGCATTTTCTCCATACTCCGTACTCCGTAATCCGATTTCTGAATTCTGATTTAGCTGAGCGACAACTGACAAACTTCAACCCCAAGCCGGACCTATTTATGCATCCTCTAAAAGCCAAGTGCAAGTTCAAGTGCGATTCGGGGACTAGATCCAATTAAACGCGACAGTACCGGCATGAAACTTTATTTTTAATATGGCTTAGGAAATTTTGGTCGAGATGGGAAATCCAGGATTTTAATCGGGGGCTTAATACTTTTCGAACATAAATTTGAACTTATAATTAGTCAAATAAAATTAAAATATTTTTTTATTCAAATTAAATTATAATTCCATCTATAAAGAGTTTTTCCCCTTAAAACTTGTTTGTTAATTCCAAACAAATCAACAAAGATTATCATATGTAAGATAATCAGAAACTTATTGAAATTTCTGTTTTTTAAATGTACCTTAACACATATTTCATTATGTACAGTTTAAGTAGGTTACTGAAAAGTAAGTAACTTGCCAGTATTGAAGTGACAAGAGTTTTAGCCGTATTCGACTCTTAAATCGAATTAAAGTGAATATGAGTGAAAACTAAATGATTCGCAACTTGGTTGCAATTGAGAACGGGTTTCGGGTTCTCTTCTCCATCTCTCTCTCTCTCAAAATCTCTGCCAGAGATTTTATCATCTTAGTTGTATTTAGAAATGCACCCATATAGGCAAATAAACATAAATGTGGTAGACCCTGATATTTGCGTAGACCTCTGATCTACCGTAAAAATGGATCTTACGAGTACTCGACTTGGAGATATCGTATAGTTCAAATGTTAGTCAAATAAGATAATAGTTAAAATTCCCAATAAAAATATTCAAAACGATGGATTTTCAATGCACAATTATTGAATAATTCCAAAAAAACCTATACCAATTTTACCTAAATAGTAACTTATTTCCGTAGAACCCTTAATTTTTTCCCATTAAAGAGAAACTTATAACCGATTTGGATATGGAATTGGAGCAGCTGACCATCGGATCCGTGTGTTTGCTCAGCCAATTGACAGTTGACAATTGACAGTGCGTGTCAAGTTCTAGGTCAGCTTGGACGAGTGTGGAATTAAACTTTGATCTCCTGCCATGTCGGTGCGATGATGCCGATTATACACCCATATAACCTGATACGTAGGGGATATTATCTATTGGGATGGTAATGTCAGCACATATGATTAAATAAGCTGCTCAGAAATAATGGTGAGGGATCTCCAAAAGGAGCTTCTCTTAGGCAAACATTCTGTTAGAAGTTTCTTTCATTAACTTATTTTAATTTAAAAAGAAATCAAACTGTGGAACTCTAGGTGCAAGATTAATTAAAACGGTTTAGATTTCCAACTTAGTTTACAAAATATATAGCATACACACATTCATTTTTTCTAAATACAATTTAATATATTGCTTTCAATTTAAGAAAAGAATACATAACAATTTGTTTGCCATTTGTTCTTATCATTTTCGAGAATTTATAACTACTGGATTTGAATACAGTGTTATCCGTTAGGTAGTTAGATATCGCCTTGCCTTATTAGCGGACAATTAGATAATGAACACGGCTTGGAGTCATTTTAGAAAAGGTAAACAACTTTATTTACATTCAACGAACATGAACCAGGGGCGGGCGGAAAGGTGAGCGACTTGGGACACGTGGCGTATGACTATGACTATAATTCTGAACGTCAACCTGAACCTGGTTTTAACTCAGTGCTACAGTTTCACACTTTGGTGGTGTCCGTGTTGCTGCCCAGGTTCTTCAGTGACTGCTCGAACTCCACGCCGTCCACTTGCCGCTTGCCCAGATCGTGTGGCGGCGGTCCAATCAGCTCCACCACCTGGTCGTAGTCCAGCGTCTCCTTCTCCAGCAGGGCTTCAGCCAGCTAAAACATTTGGGTATAGAGTTGAATTAGAGGAAATAACAATCGGTAACGTATGTACGTTAAGAGCTATCCATCAAAAAGAAACCTCAGTCATAAACGATTTGATTACAAAACGACAAGTGACTAAATATGACTCGTTTCATTAGAGATATTGATTAACTATTAATCGACCAGACTTATAATCGTCATCATCATAAGTTCTGAAAAATGTACGACTAGTTCTTTTAACAATAAAATATCTATTATATGTATAGCGTATTTGATGCATTTGTAAACGTAGTAACTTTAAATGCAAAACCTGTATTCCTAATGATTTTAAGCCTTTCTATTTAATATGCTACCAAAATTTCCATTACATTTTTTAGGTACTGATTACCTATAATCAAATATGTTTTAATAAACAAATTACTTAAATGTGTTTAATAAGCTAAAAGCTTTCTTTCCCTTTTCTTTGCGCTGGAACAAGGGTAAACTCCTAAATGTCGAGCCAGTATTTTAAATGATTTGAAACCCTTCTCTAGCATTCTCCCAAAATACCCATGGGAACAACCCAGTTTAAAAGAAGAAAAGCAAGAAAGCGGTGCCTACGAACCTTGTCCAACTTATCGCGATGCGTGGTGAGTATGCCTTCGGTGGTCTGGTACGCGGTGGCCACCACATGGCGCGCCTCGTTGTCGATCAGGCTCTCCATGGCCCGCGAGAAGGGCTTCTTGCCGCCGCTGCCCATCGCACCGCCGCCCTCCGTCTCATCCGCGTCCCGGACGTAAATGGGTCCCAGGCTCGTGCTCATGCCGAACTTCTTGATCTGCGAGTAGGCGATCTTCGTGACCTTCTCCAGATCGTTCTGGGCACCCGTCGTTATCCGATTGAAGACCAGATTCTCGGCCGCCCGACCACCCAGCGCCATGCACATCTTGTCGAACAGCTCCTCCTTGCTGTACAGGTGCTGTTCGCTCGGCGTGTATTGGGCAAATCCCAGGGCCAGGCTGGTGCGCGGCACAATCGTGACCTTCAGCAGGATGTCCGAGTTGGGCAGCATCCAGCCCACCAGTGCGTGTCCGGATTCGTGGTAGGCGATCACCTTGCGCTCCGCCAGCGACAAGGCATGCGAACGCTTCTCGGTTCCGCCTGGAATTGGTAATAGTTAAGGGGGATAAGAGTTTAAAATGTAATACATTTCGAATACTTTTATTTTATCTTTATTGAATGCAATTTGCCGATCGTTGGAAAACTGACGAAGGTACAGTGATGTGGAGTATCTACATACTTCTATCTATATACGAACCTAAGTAATTAAATGTGGTATGTTTTATGTGGAGTATCTACATACTTCTATCTATATACGAACCTAAGTAATTAAATGTGGTATGTTTTAACTACTGCTAATTTTAGTTCATATGCACTCATTATTTGGGTTTATAGTGCTTTGTGCATGTACCTTTTACTTTACCTAGCCATTATAGTACTATTTAATATTTCGCCATGAACAGAATGAACAGAATGCTTTTTAGACATCACTGCTAGTATTTTAGGAATAGATTTGAACTGTTTCATCAAAGAATCGCAAAAAGTTTACACGAATTAACCCCCTAAACCCTTTGATGCTCTCCCAGAGATCCTCAGGCGATCTGGCGGGGTGACTTACCCACTAGCCGCTCCACGGCGTACTCCAGGTTCTTGCTGCTGACCTCCTTTTGTACATTGCGAGCCGCATGCAGGGCGGCCTCGTTGCAAACGTTGGCGATGTCCGCTCCGGAGAAGCCGGGCGTTAGGCGGGCCAGGCGCTGCGAAAAAGTCCCAGGCGGCGACTCCAGTTTCACCGACGACAAGTGCTTCTCAAAGATCTCCTTGCGCTCCATCAGCGTGGGCAGATCGATGAGGATGTGGCGATCGAAGCGACCGGGTCGCAGAAGGGCCTATATAAAAGTATATACTATAGCTTGGCAATCCAATCCAATGATCGTGATGACGACGTATACCTTGTCCAGAATATCGGCCCGATTGGTGCTGGCCAGCATGAGCACGCCTTCCTTGGTGGCCATGCCATCCATCTCGACCAGGAGCTGGTTGAGCGTCTGCTCCGACTCGCCGGAGCTGCCCTGTCCCATGCTCTCGGTGCCCGAACGCTGCCGTCCGATGGCGTCTATCTCGTCGATGTAGATGATGCAGGGCGCCCGCTTCTTGCCCTCCTTGAAGAGATCCCGGACACGGGCCGCTCCCAGGCCGCCGATCATCTCGATGAACTCGGAGCCGTTCATGCTGAGAAAGGGCACCTGGGCCTCGGTGGCCACCGCCTTGGCCAGCAGCGTCTTGCCGCATCCCGGGGGACCCAGAAGCAAGGCTCCTCGCGGCACCTTGGCACCCAGCCGTTGGTACTTCTCCGGGGACTTCAGGTAGTCCACGAACTCCTTAACCTCCTGCTTGGCCTCGCTGAGACCGGCCACGTCCCGGAAGAGCACGCCACGACCGCCATCGAAGGGGTCCACCAGGGTGAACTTGGCGCGGCCCATTTGGTTCTGGCAGGGATTAAGAGGGTTTGAGTTAGGTTACCCATCGATGAGAAGAACACTACCCACAAATGAATCCATGCTGAGCGGACTCTTCATGCTCTTCATCCGGGTGGCAATGGACATGAGCAGGGCGCAGACGAGCAGCAGCATCAGGATGCGGCCGGTGGTGTCCGTCTGGCGGTCATAGGTCACCGGCACCCCATCTTGGATGCCCAGCCGCTTCTCCACCTCGCGCAGCTTCTCCTCGAACTTGTTGGCATCGGCCACCGCCATGTGGAAGATGGTGGAGGTCACCTTGCGGCCCTTGATGACGGCTCCCTCGTGCAGGATGATGGTGACCATCTCCATGTCGGGTCGTATGATCAGCTCCTTGACCTCGCCCACGGCCAGCATGTGATGGACGAACTCGTTCCAGGACACGTAGCGCGTGGAGCCCTGTTTGGCAGACAGGATTAGTGTGTTATCTATGGATTCTATGGACTATGGGCTTACCTCTGGCCGCTCGGAGCGCGGTGTAATCAGCAGGGAGAAGAAGGCCACGAACATGTAGATGGTGAAGAGCCAGAGCACGGCCTTGGTCAGCACGGAACGCATCTTCTCGTCGTTCTCGTTGCTGTTCTTGTTGGGATCCTCGCCGGATTCGCCAGTGGAACTGCTGCTGCTGCTGCTGCTGGAGGTCTCCTCTCCAGGTGCCTTGCTGCTCTTCTCGCCAGCTGGCTTGTGCTTGTTCTCCGTGGCGGAATCTTCCTCAGTCTTGGCGGGCTTTGCCGCCTTGTCCTCCTCCGAAGGATTGGGATTGGGAGTGGGAGGAGGAGGTTTTCCTCCGGAGGAGGACAGGCTGCGCAGGTGCATTAGACGCACCTCCTGGGGCGTCAGTTGCAGGGAGCGGGCTATCACGCCCACAATCGCCTTGTACTCCGCCTGCAGCTGCATCACCTGGAAGGAGGAAGCACACCCGGATTAAGTCTCTAGAGGATTGGGGTACAGGGAGACAACACATGAGTAAACAAGCTGTAACCAACTTGACAAACAAACAATGTTTCATTTCTTCTATTACAAATTGTGTTGGCAAATGCACCGTCATTAGACAGTTTGGAGCACCACTGCTCTAGAGGATTGGGACTGGGATCTGGTACTTAACCCACCTGTCGCCGGCTGAGTTGGAGGAGCGACAGCTCACGTTGAATCCCTTGGGGCCGCCCTGTGGCACTGCGGATCTGGGTGGCCATCTGGTGGCCACTGCGCTGCAGCACATTCCGCACATGCCGCAGGCCCTTCAACATCATTTCTCCAAATCCCCGGAACGACTACGTAACTCCTCCGAATCCCAATACGTAACTCTGTTTCGTTGACAGCGCCAAATACAGGGCGACAGCTCCTGGGAATACTGATTTACGGGCAAGGGATTCCCAAACTCTTGGCCACTCTTTCAGACGGCCCCAAAAATGAATGACTTAATTAAAATAAAAACACACGAAATTTAGTTTGCCGCAAATAGTGTGCACGCGGACTTGATCCGCACAGAATATCAAAACGCTTCGCAAAAGTAAACGGAAAATGGTCTGGGCACACTAAATTATGAAATGTTTGCTTTTGACCGTTAAAATACACTTATATATTAACTTTACATGATATTTAATATCATAAAGAATTTACCTCTTAAAAACGGCTCTGTTTATTTTCTTCTGAAGTCAATAAAAAATATTTTGCCTTTAGCATTAATAAATTATTTCAATTAATATCTTCTCTATTAAACGTTCCGACTAAGAACCATATTAATTTGTATGCTTTACAAAACCAATAATGAAACTATTAATATTTTTAAGTTAAAAAAAATATTTATTTATATATATATATATATTTATATTTATATATATCTTGGCCGGTTCAATAAGTAAAACAATTCAAAGCGCCTATTCGATTTTTGTAAATAAAAAATAATAATAATAGTGCTATACAAATATTACGTCGTACTACATAATAATAATGTCACTGAATTGAGTAGCTAAATTTGTTAGATGTTTGCTGTTCTGTTCTGTTCTGTTCGTTGAATGGCATTTGACCGCACCGCGCTCAATAGTTGTTGTTGACGGGTCCGTCGAAGGGGCCCATGCTCTCCCCGAAGTCCTGCATCTCCTCCTCCATGGCGTCGTCCAGCTCGTCGCCCAACTCGCCCTTCGACTCCGGACACTTTCGACAGCGGCTCTCGTTTACGCCGTAGTTGATGCACGTAGAGCCCACGCACTCGCAGCAGCCGTCGTGGAACCATCTGGAGGTTTGGGGATAATATATATACGATTATAAGGGATGTATTCTAGTAACAAGATATTATATAGAATTATACTGGTTTACGAAATTTAATCGACAATATATTCTGGACATAAACGACTTTCGACGGATTTGTTATAGCTTGTTGGCTTTGTTTATGATTCATCATTTAGGGATAAGTCTTGTATTCTGTAAGGTGCAATTTCTATTGGGCCTTATTTAGAAAATTAAAAAACATTTTATAGTGCCCTTTTGTTTCAAAACCTTATAAATGTCCAAGCAGTATTTGCTGAATGACTCCGGTTGGTTCCTAATGATAATCACAACCGATTTCCTGGACCATTTTCGTATCCCTACCTCGTACTGCTGGCCCCTGTTGTTTGACAGCTGGTGCGGCACTTATTCCACGACACACACTGATCCAGATATATAACCGTGCAGTTGACGGTCACTATGTTATCCCGCTCCTGAATCGCCTCGTCCAGGTTTTTATCGTTGGTTCCTAAATGGAAACAGATTGATTATAGAGATGGTAACCCCAAATTGCTATGTTTACCACTCACTCAAGAAATAATGACCGTCCTTTTCCAGCTTAGGGCCCTTCAAGTACTTGTCGAAATCCACTTGAAACGTGAACACGTTCCAATTGTAGCCGAAGCTATCGCCCTCATCCGGAGTGGCCACGGCGTTGAATAGCTCCGGCACTCCATCGAAGTCCTCCACGTGGGACTTTTTGGACAGCGAGTTGCGCGTGTCATTGGGCTTCGGGCAGAGTTCTACAATAATTATAAATTGATTTTATTTTAATTTATATTTTTAATTTTGTTGTAAAATTATTTGCACTGCGCTTATTTTTGGAACCCATACCTACTAAAACATTTCCGAAAGGAAATTTTACTTTTCAAGATACACATTCCTCTCGGTTATAATTTTACGACTGGTTTGTGCTTTTCTTCCTTTAACCACATTTATTGTGCATCTGATAATTAAAGTGATTTATTTGTATTCCTCGAAAAAAGACATGCCTTCCTATTCCGATCTCGTGTGCATATTTGTTTTCATCGTCATGCTCGATTTGTTTATAAACAACGTCATGTGGGCCAAACGTAAATTGCATTGCACGAAAACCCGACCGGTATAATTCCAGTATATTTATTTATTTATTTACACCATCAGTTTATTTTTGCTCATTACTAAAATGGATATTAAGATGATAGACAATGTGTAAAATTTGAAAATCATAGATGATAGGTTTTTATTATGCTTTAGTGCACAAAAAAAATTATAACGTTTTTAAATTTTCTAAATAAGGCCCACGACCCACACAGATGTTGTAAAACTAAAATTACTTAACCGTGATTGTAGTTTGCTGATGCAAAAGTTTTTCGTATTATAAGAAACCGTATGCAACAAATTTCTATACGTCGTATTGAACAATTTTGGTATCAATACAAAATATTCTAAATTTAAAAAGCTTTATAAATATTTTTGATATTAATCATAAAATTACTACATTTAGAATGTCCTTTTATTGTAAAAATTATATTTTACAGATGTTAAGCTGTGTTAACAGTGATAATAAGCAAGTAAACAATTATTTTTAGTGTAACAAAAAGGTATAGTTAAAAGCTTACAAGACTGTTTTACGTTGTTTTAGCCCTAAATTAAATTATTTATTTAAAATAGCTTCGGGGATATTACTTTGTTTTCATTACTGACTCAAAACTATGAATGATTTGGGAAAAAAGTTCTTCTTTGTAAATAAAATTAAATTAAACCTGTCTGCAGTAAGGAAAAGTATGAGTTCAGTGACTTAGAGTTTAAACCTATTGGGCCGCGAAAGGGTTAAGGCTAGGCCGATCGCCAGCTCAAGCCCGTTATCGATAACTAGTTAGCACATCGCAAGCTCCCCCCTCACACACACACACACACTCATTCGTTTGCCTTACCCGTTTGACAACAACAAAAACAAAGCAATGGCCATCACATCATCAGTGGTGATCATTTCTATATGTACCCTACGACAACCTCCCACCACCCACTAATCGGATGGCCTTCCTTACCCACACAGCTGCAGCACTCCTCGTAGTTCTTGCCCAGACATTTGAGGCACTCCTTGCAGCAGGAGCAGTTCTTCAACTCGCACTTGCAGCTCTGCGTTAGCATGCATTTGGAGACGATCGAGGCGCAGACGACCTCGTTGCAGGACTCCACTGTGCCGTAGAAGCAGACGAGTCCCAAAAGCACGATGGTGCCCACTGTCAGCGAGCGCCAAATTTCCATGGTGTCCGTGTGTGTGTGTGTGCGTGTGTAGGGATTGGAATGCGCTCTTTCCCGTATCCGTATATGTGTATGCGGGTGCAATTACAAAATTACAACTATAACAAACAACAATTACAGGCACACAGACACACTGGGCAGACTGGGCATTTGCTCGACTTTTTGCACTATATCACCATATATAATAAGTAGTATGCGGGATTATATCGCATTCGGAATCGGAACGGATCAAAACAACAACAAGCGACACCACAACGAACACTAAACAGCAACAACTAGCGAGCGGATCGACGACGGTCCGCTGCGGCAGCGACGTCGACAGCAGAGGCGACTGCGCGGCGACAATGTCTCTCTCTCGTGTTGTTGTTTTTGTTATTGCTAGGGCATAAACTGTCTTTTCTTTCCATAAAACAAACAACAACAACAATAGCGCCAGGCTAGACACAAGCACACACACACACCAAGCCGAATACGCGAATTAAGCGCACGCACACACTCAAAAACAGGCTGCTTCTGGCTCACACATACACTCACACTGGCCAGACTTAGAAATTGGAATCGATCGATCGATGATGCTGCCGCTGCTGCCTTTTTGTTGACAATTCCGGTACGATCGGAATCTATATCTATATTTGTATCTGAATCGACGGATCGGAGGCGAGCGCACGCGTACGCCAACTGAATGATCAACTAGCAACAGCAATAACACGGATCGGCCAAGTGATTAGAGATGAGCGCATCTGCGGCCACCGGGAACGGGTCACGAGAAGTCACGGCTAAAAGTAACAATATAAAGCTGCAATAGATATAGATTTAATAAATCGAGCTAAATTCAGTGTTTTTGTACGGTGGTATGGTTAAGTAAAATTTAGATTACTAAATTAGTTTTAAAAAGCTAATTCCCAACTGCTACATCCATAAAATGTTCAAGAATTTTTAAATTGATGGATTAAAATGACCTTAATTATGAATATATAGATAAAAGTCTTATTAAAATAAAAATCATTTACTTCAGAAATATACACCATATGGGCAAACGTTATAGTAAATATATAGTATAATAGTTAACTGATTTCGAATTTGGCTTGCGACCGCGAAATCTTTAAATTCGCTTTAAAATAACCATGTTAAGTTGGTATTATTTGAAAAACCGCTAACTTGAAAATTATTTAAACGATTTGCTTCGGTGCCAAACCTGGTTCTCGATATTGAATCGATTTTTGTATGATAATTTTTTAGAATGTGGATTTGTATACTTATATTTGAGTATGTTCTTTAAAGGCTTAGTTTATTGCTTGGAAAAACTAAGTATTTTGTAAAAAAAAAAAATGTTGTGCTGCAGTTTTTATACATTATGTTGCATTATTTAAGGTGACAGCTTAATATCGAGTTATTACCATGGAACTATAATTCCAGTTGTAACTTATAATACATAATTCAATGATTGATCAGAACTGATCTACACCGATATTATGTTAGCATTTTTTGTATTATATTATTAAGTTAAGTTTATAAGCAAGTTTCATAATGAAAAAAGTTTGATTTAGCGAGTTTGTTTTTCCATTTGTTTTGATGAACATAAGCATAAATTAATAAAATCAATAAATAAACACTATCGACCTAGATCAGTACCATCGCTAATCCCCACTCAAGCTATAGAATATCGATAATAAAGCGACAAATTTATTATGAGCGGCTATAAGTCTGCCAATCGATATACGAGCCTATCGGGCAAAGAATGCATTTGTCCATCCCCATCGATTATTTTTTTGTAAACATAAACAGAGGTATGAAAAACTGAAAACGAAGGATGTTTATGTTCCGAAACTGTGCGGTTCTGCTGGTGATCGGCTCCATCTGCTGCTTTATCTATGGCCTGTTCCAGTTGCACGTGGAGGTGGAGCCCAATGCCTGCCGGATGACCTACATGTTCGGCGAGCCCATGTTTGCGGTGAGTTTGGCCCGCT